CAATGAATCTCAAGGGCTTGGAATGCTGAAGAAGAATAAGAAAGAAAGAAGATAATGTCCTGTGTCAAATCCAAATTTCCATTACAGATAAAGAAATTGGAAATGCCACAAACTGAATACTGTGGCCCCATTCTTCCCTCTCTTCTTATCTTTTACCAGCTGTAAAATCTGTTGGGAAGTTCTGGAAGTTTGTCCATTTCTAGACTTTGACCTTTCTCCTGAACAGATTTGTGTGCAAATCGTTTTATAGATCTGGCTTATTTGTATGCAGTCTGTTGGTTCCTCACCTCTCAAGCAGATGCACTCCGACTTCGAATGAAACATCCTTAATTAATCGCCTTTTACCACATGCTTCTTAAGGGGACATTGGGTCTGTTCTCCTTTTCTCCATACATGGTGTCTCAGAACCCACACGAGGAGCTAAACGCTTAAAAACAATGCAGATAGTTTTTAAGAAGTCAGAGACTGGCTAGTAATGCAGCTGTAAGCCTCTTCTTGATGTGTTACAACACCAACAAATTATAGTCAATAAATTCTCACTCTCATTTAGTTAGACAGAACATTCAAAGAACAATAATGGAATGCGTTGTTCTCTGGAAAGCATGCCAGGGTTGACTAGAACGAGAGTGGACACATGCCATCAGAGACACAGGGCACAGAGGTTTATTTGGAAAAGTGTCTTTTTCGTCTTCTCGTCCTCCTCCTGCTGCTTCCTCCTCCTCCTCTATTCCTTCATTTTCTCCTTCTTCTTCTTCTTCCTATTATTATTATTTTTCTTCTTCTGCCTCTTCTTCTTCCTCCTTTTCTTCTTCTTCTTATTTTTCTTCTTCTGTCTCTTCTTCTTCCTCCTTTTCTTCTTCTGCAGCTGCTGCTTCGTGAGACATTACCGTTCCCCGCATGCGTGCCGCCATGAAGAAAACATGGGAAATGTGGGCGGGGGTCAACCCTAATCAACTCACCACCCGCATTTCAAATTGTCTAGTTATTTTTTTTAAAAAGCTTTGGGGTGGGGGTGTTGAGCCCCTTATCCTATATTTAAGACACATTTGGACAGGAGACCTCAGCCCTAACCTCAGCAACACCCTACTCACAACCTAGGCAACATGTGGTTGGGGTTCAGACCCCTTTAGCTCCCCCCTCCCCCTTTTCCCCACAATGCCTTTTTTTTTTTTAAACATTGGGGAATCCGCGACCACCCCCTCACAACTTTAAACATTTTCTAGGCGATTAATTGGGTGGTGGTGGGGGCCTCAGATCTTCGAGTGCCCTGTCCAAAACATGATTCGGGGGGGGGGGGGGGGGGGGGCTAGATTCCCCCGACCCAGTAATTTTGTAGGGGTGTCGAGATGCCCCCTTTAGTCATGTAGGCCTATATTTTTTTCTGTTTCCTCTCGTTGACCGGCTTAAACGCCAGTGGACAGTTCTGGTTGTCCATCCTCTTCTGGACTTTAGTCTTGTTCCAGAAATTAAATTTTGCGTGCACATCCGTTTTACAGATCTGACTTATGTGTATGCAGACTGTTAGTTCCTGGCCTCTCAATCAAATGCACTCCGATTTGAAAGGAAGCACTCTAACTACTCGACTCCTACGACATGCTTGTTATGGGGCAAACGGGGAAGCTATGTAGATAAATTATTTCTTTGACTATTTGTACACTTCATATTTTTACAAGGGATCTCTTTTTTTAAAAATGAGTGGCGGCCCCCCCCCCCTTCCCCCGGGGGTGGGATGGTAATACTATCTAGAGCAGTGATTCTCAACCTTCCTAATGCCGCGACCCTTTAAATACAGTTTCTCGTGTTGTGGTGACCCCCAACCATAAAATTATTTTCGTTGCTATGTCATCACTTCAGTGAATATGTGTTTTCGGATTGTCTTAGGCGACCCCCGTGAAAGGGTCGTTCGACCCCAATATGAGTTGAGAACCGCTATCTAGATAGACCTGAGCCCTCAGGTTCTGGTTCCTCGATAAACAACGTCCCACATTTTCCCCCGATCGTCTTTCTGACCTCAACCACTGAGGTATCTAGCCTGGCTTGCTGTTATTCAGTTCAAAGGAGATGTGCTGTCTCTGCTCTCTAATTGGTGCCAGCTCTCCATGCTCATATTCAGCGTGTCTCTGTGTTAAAATTTGGATGTGTAAAGGGGATCCGCACACTTTCTTTGTGTATGTTTTTGTGTGTGGCTTCTTTACCACGACCGCCTGTTAACATACGTGTCAAAATACCGCAGGGGAACTGATTTATGCGTATATAAGGAGTGGACACATCTTTGAGGCTATTCATGGGACTTTCAGAACTGTACTGGATAGCCTATGTATGGGCAGCTAATCCATAGTTCTGATGTGAGAGCTTCATTCACCACTGTTTCAGTTTTAACTGTGCATGTTGTGCTAAAGTTTCTATTGCAAAATGATTTATACCTCCGGGGTGGGGATGCTGAGGAGGGGGGGGGGGGAAGGGGGTCAGTAGCGACCGTTTTGGGAAGCACTGAACTAACCCAATCCCTTCTTCCTTAGATCATAGTTGAAGAGGTCAAACACTTACAGCTACTTCCGGGTTTTACTGAGACAAACGTGAGTCAACACTGAATCTTTCTTCTGCCAATTTTTTCCAGTGTTGCTTGTGTGAACATAACTTCAGGTAGTATTTCAAGGCATCGTTATCGCTTTCACACCCCACAGTTTCATAAACCGTAGAAATTAAGTATGAATCACGTATATGATGACTGTATGCATATAATCTTCGTGTAGAAGTAGAGACCAGTATCACATGCTGGGACAACAAGTAAAAACAGTAATCCGGCGGGGCACGCCCCCTTTAGTTCAGAAATAATTAAATAATAGTTAGCAGTAAGCATTTCTTACCATTGTAATTAATTCACAAGAAATATTAGGTAAATAGTGATTTATTTCTCAAATTTCACTTTAGAAAGTTTATGCGAGCATACCCTGTAGAGTCAGTAAAGAGGGTAGTAGTGTAGTTTATAGATAGATATACACACACATATATTCTTGGTTATATGGTGGCTATCTGATTATTATTTTTTTTTTAAACCTTATATTCATTCAGTCATCGACAACACTGAGGAAAATAACAAAAGAGCAATTTTGTTTGTATGAATATAAAAATAAGTTGTCATTTTAGTAAGTTTTACACGTAAATATAGCATATCACCGAGCAACACACATGGCTACTCACTTTCAGATGACTGTACCCTCAGCTGGTGAGTCTGAAAAAAAAGCAATGCCATCACTTCAGGCCTTCAAGCATTGTCTGCCTTGGTCTTACTCTGCCTCTTCTACCATTAATCTTTCCAGTCATCTCTTCTCAACACATGACTAAAGATCATTGACTAACTTTTGTGTAAATTTGTACATCATTTTCAAATATCATTAGCCATTTCGAGGCAGGTGTTAGTCACTCTATCTGTCCATGGTAACCATAGCATCTGCCTCAGAAACCACACCTCCATGGCCTCCAAGTTCTTCTTAATTTGTTTCTTCACATTCCAAGAATACATATACACAGTCGGGAAATTAACTCTTCTAGTTGGGATCTACATAGGTGTCATTAACAGAATAAAAGCCATGACACTGAGCTACAACCTGTTATCAGTGTAATGACAAAAGAAGAAGAAAAAGAACAGAGTAATTTTGTTTTATGGTAAAGTAGTCTTACTTCATTATCTTCTTATATAGTTAATTATTTTATTAATCACAAAGGTAATTAACAGAAGACAGAAAGAATAATAGTAATATTTCAAATAGCTGCAAGCCAGCAATATTGGAGGTGTGGCTACCAGAGAGTACATAAGATTATACTGTCTAATTTTCATGAATATTTTAGTTAGTAAGCTTGGAATTTAATTTGTTCAACTCTATCCAACTTATTTTTTTTTTTTTTTTTCAAAATGTTTGAAAAATTAATGTGTAAATGCTAACCATATGCCTGAATTGTTCTTCTAACTTTATGGGCTTTGCCAGAGACACAGCTATATCCACATTTTAAGAGTCTATAGAGCCAGTCTTTTCATCTTGGAAAGTATCATGCAGTCTTTGTTGTTGACCTCTGCACTTTAAAAATGTCACCAAATCCATGATTAGTAGTCACATTAGACTTTGTAAATATCCACTTATCTGTAGCCACAAGACAACTAGACTTTATAAATGTCCACTTATCTATAGTCAGTAAACAACTAGACTTTATAAATGTCCACTTATCTATAGCTGCTAGACAACTAGATTTTATAAATGTCCGCTTATCTATAGTCAGTAAACAACTAGACTTTATAAATGTCCACTTATCTATAGCTGCTAGACAACTAGATTTTATAAATGTCCGCTTATCTATAGTCACTAGACAACTAAACTTTATAAATGTCCACTTATCTATAGCTGCTAGACAACTAGATTTTATAAATGTCCGCTTATCTATAGTCAGTAAACAACTAGACTTTATAAATGTCCACTTATCTATAGCTGCTAGACAACTAGATTTTATAAATGTCCATTTATCTATAGCTGCTAGACAACTAAACTTTATAAATGTCCGCTTATCTATAGTCACTAGACAACTAAACTTTATAAATTTCCACTTATCTAGTAAGTAGACAACTAGACTTTATAAATGTCCATTTATCTACAGTCAGTAAGCATCTAGACTTTATACATGTCCAGTTATCTACATTCACTGTGGATCTAGACTTTATAAGGGTATGTTATCTATGGTCAGTGTTTTACATATTTTACTAAATCTATCAAGTAGATTTTTATTCTGTATGATTTGGTCACAAATAATGACATTTTTCTGTGTTTGAGTATTAGGAAAGTCAAAGACTTACTTTTGCATATGTTTTTCAAATGTTATCTTTTAATCATCACATCAGTACTTTTAGATAGAGCCTTTAGAGAAGAAGTAATGTATTAACATATAAAATATAAAGTTATATAAATAACTAACTGTCCACATTTGTGTCCACAGATATTTACGCTGTTATAATGGCGTGGAGATTCAAAGCTTCTAAATATAAAAATGCATCTCCCAAATTTCCTAAGAAAGAGGCAAGTATTTAAATGCACAATACTGTCAATATGTGCAACTTTAAAAAATAAAATACAAAAGAATTACTTTCCCTCATCCTTGTTAGTTAGCCAATAGGCCGTCCTCGCTGCACATTGAGCCATGCAGTCCATAATTGCTCAGATTATCTCCAGAATGCAACAACTGACCTCATTAGTTTTGTATATGTTTATTATTCTATATTGATTTCCTGCATAGAGCTTTTATCTGGTCTCACCTTTTTTCACTTTTTGTTCTCGCAGTCCGCTTATGGCTGCAGATTTACAGTAGTTACTTGATTTGTGTAATCATCTTATTTCTCATAGAGCTTTCAGTATAGCATCCTGGTCCATAGCTCATCTTGCTTCTACAATAGCCCAGCCCACAAATGTATCCACATGTTCATTCCTTCTTACACTCATGCGCCCTGGCACCAGGAAGAAACTGAACTTTGTCAGCCATGATCACCTCAAAGACTCAAACCACCGCTTTCGAGCCCAGCCAATTACATATTTTGTTTTACATAATCATGTAAATGGTTGTTACAAGAATTCCTTGAAAAAAAAGGAGCTTCTGCACATATGGTCTTTGCTTATTGTCATTTCCTTGTGCACTTCTCTGTCATCTGCTCAGTTTACTTTTTTTCTTCTATTTTTTTTTCAGCATCAGGTCAGTCAGGCAATCGATGCTCACTCTGTCCTCTCCGGGCTGCTATCTAAAGATTTACCATAAGATTCTGAGATTACAAATCTCAATCTGGATGGCAGATCATCAAGGCAAATCCCAGATACCCTGTTTGACCTCCAAAAATGTTATAATTATGGCACCGGTAATGTATGCACCAGCCAGGTGTAATCTGCAGTCCTCTGTGGATAAGAACCCATCAAGTTAATTAATGTCTGGACACGACTTGGGTGAAATTACAACATCCACCTTTACTTTCATGAGAATTTTAATGTATATATTATGCTGTTTAAGATTAACCTTATAAGATAACGTTGAATTAAGAATCGACATCACAGCACTCGGAACACCCCATAAGCGCTCCATCCCCATCTTCAGCAGCAAGCAAAGAGTTAAAATTCTGATGGTACCAGTAACTGTATGATTGTATATCTATCTTGCCTTTTCCCTGAGGGTCGAGTGTCGGCCATATTCCTTTGTAATTCCTTGCAGTGCCATTCTCCTCAGACTGTAATGATCTATCTGTTCCTCGGCACTGTTCACTCACTCCCAAAGTGCCCTCACAACATCCAGCTTGTCTTACATCAAAGAGATATAGGAATGACAAAAAATATAGGAAAGGCAAGAATGCCAGCCATATGAGGCAGTCCTTCTAAAGAAGAGGGATATCATACATCTATAAACAACTGACAAGATTAATGAAAAAAGAGCAAGGGGAAGGGAAAAAAGGTAAATACTTGGATGTCTTAGCCGTATTGATGGGTCAAGATAAGAACATCGACCTCATCGTGATCATGTGATGTGGGGAAACATGATAACTTACGCTTATCAGTGTAGCACATGTTGATGATAATTATGTTTATGCTATTCTTTTTTATGGTGATGATTATGCAAATTGTTTAGTTTTCTGAAGTACATATTTGAACTGTAATTGGTGGGAGGAGTATAAAAGATATAACAGATATATTTCAATGATTGGGATTTCTTCACTTAAAGGAAATTATTACAGAACTCCCAGTGACAGACGTAACTCAGTCATGTGGAAATCATATCAAAGCAAGTTGTGTTTACTCTGCATTTAATATAGACTCTGCAGGTAAGTTTGTGTTATTACAAGGGAAAGTTAATAAGCAAGTCACAAATGGTTATGGGATGGTGGAAAAATGTAGTTGGTGGATTCTAAAGGTATTATTATGTGACAGCAACATCGAACTTTATGTTTCCATTCATTAGGTGGAGCAAGGAGTTGCATGCGCATTTGTAACACAGAAACAAAATGGCAGCTGCACTTACAGAGTGTACCCTAAAAACACAAACGTGCTGTTGTGCATTTTTTTGGGAGAATCAAATGGTGGGGGGGGGGGGGGGGGGGGTGGAAGGGCAAAAGGGCTGCCTGCAAAGGACATTCATAAGGCAATGCTTTCTGTCTGTGCTGACAAATGTGTATCCTATATAGCTGGGTAAACTATTTTTATCAAGGACACTCTAAAATTGGTGGTGAAGTCCGATCGGGTCATACTGTTAAGATTGCAACAGACACATCTGTGCAGCGGGTGGAGGAAAAGATTAGAGGTTACAGGCAAGTAACGGTTGACTCTGTAGAAGTTGCAGTAAGGTGCTCACATGGTTCAGCATACAACATTTCCACCTTTTTTGGTCCACTGAAAACCCACCTTGGTGGGAGACATTTCGCAAATGATGCAGAAATTGAATGTGAAGTAAAAAATGTGGTTTAGAAAACAGCGCGCACAGTTCTATGCAGCAGGTTTGGGAGGAATGATAAAATGATGAGACCAGCACATCAGTGTTAGTGGAAATTATGTTGCAAAATAAAGGGCCAGTGAATGTGAAAAATAAAACTGTTTTCAAATTGTTATCGTCTTTATTTAAAAAAAAATTTTTTTAAGTAACCATTTCTGGCTTACCAATTAACTTCCTCTTGTACATTTCCAACAGAAGCAAATGTAATAGACAGTTATGGCTAATTCAGTCACAATAGAGAAATAATATAAAAAGTTTACTTAAATTTTTTCTGGGTTAAATATGACAGATTAGGGTGACAGAGGCTGATAAATGCATTTCACAATTCTCAATGCTTGTGTGGGCTGTAGGTCCTATTTTTTATAAGGGGAAGACCCGCTGCATGTTATAAAGGCGACTAATTTAGGGTTTTTACTTTGTTGTCATAGTGCATCTGCCTGAGAGGTGAGAAACCAATAGTCTGCATACAGATCAGTCAGATCTGTAAAACAGATGTGCATGCAACATTTCTGGAACAAGACTATAGTTCAGGAGGGGATGAACCAGCAGGATGTTCCACTAGAGTTGACAGAATCAGACATTTCTCATGAACTAGCGTTCAATTTCCATATGAGGTGGTATAGAAATGAACTGTTTTCATGGCTTTTGGACCACTCTAATATAAAATAAGAGGTTTTTGAACTGAAATGTGATAGATTCTCAGAATACACAAAAACTCCCTGTTTGGGTTCTGGGGCCCCATTGTGGGGGAAATAAGAACAGACCCATTGCCTCCCCAACAAGCATGTCACAAGAGTCAACTGATTTGGGGCTTCCTTTAAAGTCGAAGTGCATCTGCCTGAGAGGCAAGGAATAAAAAATCCACATTCAAATAAGCCAGATCTGTAAAACACATGTGCATGCAACACTTAGATTCTGGAACGAGACTGAAATCTACAGATGGATGAATCACCAGAACTGTTTTTTGGAGTTTACAGCCAGCAAACGTGAAGAAGAAAAGAAGAACAAATCTGCCACTTCTTTGGATCGAGCTTCAATAACTATCTAGGCAGGCAGTCACATTGATAAATCACTATGCCTCCACAGCTCCTTCAAACAACATATTGCTCATTCATAAGATGGCTGTGTGCTCATGTTATGATTGCTGTACATTTTCCTTTCCTTGTGTTCTTTTAGTTTTTATTTATTCATATACCTACTGATATTAATTTTACAAGTACTAGTTTTTGATAATGTTAACATAAGCTAATTTAAATTTGTTTACATGACATCTACAGGAGGAGGAAATGTAGGCTTTCTGCCACATTCTGCCATTGGAAGGCAGGGAGCTTCTCTGCCAGTCATTTATGCTCATGGAGGTATTGCTATTATTTTTGTTGTTGAGTAATGATGTCATTGTAACTTACTGCGGTAACGGTTGCCCGGTAAAAGTGTAACAACAAAAGAAAAAGACTATAAATGTCCACATTCAACAGAAATATGATGGCCAAGAAACAGATTGTAAGTAGAGTGTTTGGTGCTTCATTAATATCCTACCTCAAACAGGGGAAATCCACAGGTCACGGGACAGTCTAATATTTCAGGGGGTGGTAGATAGGCTGCTAGCAGTCGTGGGACCTAGGCTGCATGCAGTCATGGGACTTAGGCTGCACTCTCTTGTGGGATGTAGGTGGGTTGGGGTTAGGGTCAGTTCTAGATGTTTTGGGGTCATTAAAAGCATCAGAAAGCAGGGAAACCCAGTCTTACCACCCTCTAAAATGTTGGACTCCTGTGACATCATCTGGGGTAGGATATTAATAAAGCACTGAGTATTCACTGTGTTGCCAGTGACAAGCTTGACATTATTGAAGCCTCGTGTAAGCAAGATTAACACTTATGAGATGAGATGAATGTATAGAACTGGAGCCATATGCAGTGTGCCTCAACTTATGGAAATACTGCATAAGTGACAAAATATCAAGAATAAGACCCCTTCTACGCCACTGGCGCATCAGGCCTGTGATGATAGACTCATATTTTTGTAGACCAATCGGCACTTGGTGGGTGATGTGGTCACCATCACGCCGGCTGCTTCTACTTCCCTGGACATTACCTGCTACCTCTATTAAGCTCAGGAGCAAGGTCAGGTTTGAAAAAAAGACAAAATCAGCCTCGATGCTGATTTGAACCTATGACTTTCAGGCCACTTTACTATATTACTTTATGTTTCAGATTTTGTGACTGATCTCGATTTCAGCCCATTCGATGATTACCTTTTAGCAACTGGATCCCAGGACAACAAGGCAAGTTGAAGTGATGAATCTTCTTAAATTTGTGGACATTGTTTGTCAAGGACAATAATATTTACCCGCTTTCTGGTCTCCGATTATTTTTTTTTATAACTCTCCTGGGCGGAAAGGGGGGGGGGGGGTAGGGAGGAGGGTGAGCAGAGGGTCTGGAAGAAAATCTGCACTGTGGGGAAACAGGCGGAACTTTAATTAGTTTGCAGCAGGTTCTGTTAGCATATAGACTCTTCGTTTGCTACTGAGGAAGGAAACAGAGTGGTACCGGCACAAAGCTGAGACTTAATGGTTTGTCATTGGGGCAGTAGTAGTTCAGGGTGTCTATTTCCATTCTGTATGTTTTAAATTGCCTGCCATGTCTATCATGTCTAGAACTGTTAGCTTCTTACTTTGAAGATCTTATCTGCTTGCAAATGGGTCTCTTAGATGCAGTACATATTGACATGTTTTTCATACAGGATGTTTTCCAGCTCTATCTTTTTGCTGTAGCCAGCCTGCTAACAGTTTACGATGGGGATTCAAATCTGTAATCTTTGAGTCAACAAGCAAGAGTCTAGCCACTATGACTCCCTTATCTATTATTTGGTGCAAAGTAAAATTTTAGTTTTACCTTAATAAATACTGACACTGTTTTTCTCTTCTTCCCAATTCGAAACATTCTGTTATTGTTTTCCTCTTATCTTCCTTGTCTCAGCTTTCATTGCAACTCTCAAAGTTTTCTTTTTTCCAGGTAAACCTGTGGTTATTGCCTGATGAAAACAATGTATGCTCCCTGTCTGATCCAGTTACAACATTACCTGCATTTCCTCGACGGGTGGAAAATGTGCTGTGGAATCCTCAGGCTGATGGAATTCTAGCTGTAACCTCAAACACAACAGTGAAGATATTCAATGTGACGGGAGCAGCTGGCAGGGAAGTGTTTGGTGAGTGCCATTTGGCTAGTAAAATTGTTGAAATTTCAATATTGAAAATTTACTAATAATATAACATAATTATAACTCACAATGGTGGCAAAAAGTGCAGGACCACCTATTAAATAATTTGGTACTACTCATGAAAGTGTCCCGTCTCGTCGTCTGCAAGATTTCATAGCGGTTCCCATGGGCTGTCCTGTGTTCTAGGGATGTTATGATATGTCTTCCTTTGCCGTCTACACACAGTGTGCCGAAAAGTGGCTTGGGTTCCTTTGTCACAGTCGACACTCTGTCGACTAGAGGAAAATGTGCAACTCTCTTTTCTATGAACAATTGTTGTTTCTTGACTGTGTTGTTGTGAATAGGTCTCAGGCACCTTTGGCACCTGTGTGCAAGCAAGAAGCACTGCAGGGGAAAGCGCTGAAGGCAAGACGGTTTGTGAGCATTGAATCATTGATGTTTTTGTATTTTTATGCTCATTGATAGGGGCTGTTTTCGGTGCTAGATGTGCTTGAAACTTTCAAAACAAGGAACACATGACACCCTTAGACTATATGAGTGTGCTGGGAAATTCCCTATGAAATCTCACGGCTGACGAGTTACAGAGTATTGCAACCACTGTTTTCTAGGCCCATAAAAAGCAATTACTGTAATCGGCATTGTGCTGTCAAAGATCAGTTGATGCACTACTTCATAATAGTGTTGAAAAATCAGTTATTTACTAGGTGGTCCTAACGTTTGGCCACCATTGTAGAATGAAAAGCATGTGGTCATATCCACCTCACATTTTTCATGACATGACGTTTTTAATTCTCTGAAAGGTTGGAGTTTTTATAACAAATCCTAGCCTGTCCTTCTGGACATTCTGTTTTATATGCTCAGGTCAGACCATCAGGTGGGTTGCCTCTATGAATTTGCATGTCAGTAGCAGGTCCTCCATGGTTGGCCATTGCTTGCTGTGCACACTATGCTCTTGAGACCAAATTTCTCTTCGTAGATGGAAATATAGTGGGCAGGTCTGCAGAATGTATTCAGGTTTTTGTGGTCCTGTTTGACATGCACACTGTGGGGATTATACTGTCTTTATTTTATGCAAGTGGTATTTGAGCCTGTAGTGTCCTGTTCTTAGATTGAAGATTGTTGTATGTGTTTTTTTCTGTTGAGTCTGCTTTTGGGGTCTTGTTGGTGCTTAATGTTGATTTGTTCTCTTCACAGTTCCTTATATTTGCTCTTGATAAGTGATTTGATTTTTTGTAGCCACAGTGTATGGGTTTGTTGTTTCTCCTTTGTTCCATTCTTGGCAAATCTTTGTGAACTTATTTTGTAGTATACCACACCGATCCAGGATCCAGTATAGAATGATTTTCTGAAAGTTTGTTCAGCAGACAGGTCAGTTTTCTCTCCATGTTGTCTCGTCGACCAATTTAAATAACCTGGTGCACTGATATGCAGCCACACAGAAAAATAATTTTGCTTTGTTTTTCTTTCTTCAAGCAATTTTGTTGCATCAATAATTGCTTGCTGCTCTTATTTGAAGTTTGTTGAGAGTTGACAGAGATTAAACAGCTTTCAAAGTCTATGATTAAGCTCCAGTAAGGAAATCGAGGTCAACAATTTTGAGGTCATGCATCATCCCTGTAGCAGCATGTGAGTCATGGGCTATCTCACCGGCATTAAGGAAGAAAATAAGGGTTTTTGAACTGAAAAGCTATTGAAAGATCCTTAGAATACCATGGAGCAAGAAGACAAGAAATACTGACGACACCCTGAAAGATGTGAATATCAAGAAAGATTGGCTAGTAAACAGCATCTTGTCTCTGAAAATGAAATATTTTGGCCATATCAAGCACCACAGCAGCTTTAAAAAGCTAGTAGCAGAAGGTATTGTGCCTGAAAAGAGGGACAAGAGCTGACTAGCAGGAAGATGGACACACAGTATAAGTGACACTTTGGGTAGAAAAGTACACGGGGTAGGAGATCTGGTGACAGACTCTCTTTCAGGCTGGCTGGGGTGAGAGTGACATTCTGCAAAAGACTTGCTACCTGATGATGATGATGATACTACCACTGCCAGACATGGTCATTCACAACAACCAGGATAGGAAATTAGTAACCATGGAAGTGAGATGTCTGAGAAAGACTGCAGGAGTCACCAGAAGAAATACAAATCAGGAATAAAGTCATCAGAGAACAAGTCAACACAGAATTAATACTAAATTGCATACACATGTAGCTACTAGAATGGTTAGCCTACTTAGAGATAATGCTTTGTGATGACATACCAAATAAGGCATGCAGCACAGATGGAGAGGGTCATAGAGCACAAGGTAAACCAAGAACAAGATGGACAGATTCTAACATCAGAAAAGCTCTACAACAAAACAATATGTCTATAACTGAGTTGGGCAGAAGAGTGAGAAGCAAAACCTAGCATATCTTTTGACACCCGAAGGGGTAAAAGAGGAAGGGAAGAAGAAGAATTACTTATCTTTGTGTGTGTGTATTTGAAATTAATTACATAGAATAATTTTAGATAGAGATAATTTGTAAATAATAACTTTTTTTACATATGGTTTATTATTGGGAATATTTTGGCCAGATTTTTCTAACCATGGAGATCAGATTCAGAGTGTTTCTTGGAAAGGAGATGGATCACTTTTGGTCACCTCATGTAAAGACAAGAAAATCAGGGTCATAGATCCCAGAGCAAATTCAGTCGTGCAGGTTGGAATTATACTTAGCTAGAAATAACTTAATTTTATAAATGTTGATTGGTTCATTACAGCTAGTCAGATGGGTAGAAGCAGAAATGTCTTCTGCTTCTTCTTTCCTCTAAACTTGTTCTGCCTTTCAATGTTGAATTAAGAATCAACATCATATCACTCGGGATATTCTTATAAGCGTTTCGTCTCCATCTTCAGCAGCAAGCAAATAGTTCCACTTCTCATGGCACCAGTAACTGTCTGATTGTATATTGCCTTTCCCTTAAATGTTAAGCGTCGGCCAAATCCCCTAGTAACTCCTTTGTGCGCGCCATTCTCCTCAGACCATAATGATCTATCTATGCCTGCACACTGTACACATGCTCTCAAAGGGCCATCACAACATCTAGCTTTTCATACATCTCTTCACCACCAAGTGGTGCAGAACAGGCTACTCTATCTGCCTGCTCATTTCCCAGTTCACCGGCTTCACCTGGAGAAAATATCTAAAGGATGCTAACTAACCGGGAGGACATGGGGAGAGTTGCAAAGGATAGAACAAGTTGGTTGAGGGCCTATGCCCCACTGGGGGTTAGAAAGGCAAAAGAATATGAGAGAATTGACTATTACAGAAGACACTGTTAAGGTCAGAACTGTCTGGGACTGAAAGAGTTAACCAAGTCTACATTTATCAACGTTAAGTGCAAGCAGGTTGCTATCATCTAGTTAATTTATTATATAGAAGAAGTTATATACCTCAGAGTAGCTACAGATAAAGAGCACCCGGTGTATGAATCAGGGGCTACAGGGTTGCTTCCAACAGAGTAGCCAGCTTCACTGGGAAAGACACAGATAGTTTCTATACTGTGGATCTTTTCTCCAGGCCATGCCGGAATGGTGGAAATTTAACAGGCAAACAGATTAGCTGGATCTGCAGCACTGGGTGGTGATACCTGACAAGGCAGATGTCGTCAAAGCCCTTTGGGAATATGTAACCAAGTCAGAAGGGGAAACTAGATTATAATGCCCTGGAGAGAATGATGCACTGGCTGCTGAAGATGGGGACGGAGTGCATAAAGGAATGTACTGAGTGCTTTGATGTCAATTCTTGACTCAGCTCAACAAAACATAGAATAAGTTAATGAGATATAATCATCTTCATCATCATCAACATGTAGCAGGCCTTTTTGCAGAATATTACTCCCATAATTTATTATATTTATTTCATGTCTGTGAACTCGAGTTTCTGATTGTTTCTATGCACAGGAAGGGTCAGGCCATCAAAATGTCAAGGACTCGCGTGTGTTGTGGCTCGGAGAAAAGGAATTTATCCTGTCAACAGGTTTTAGCCAGGTAATTTCAGTGCAAAAATAGATTTATAGTATAAATTAATACAATACAGATTGCTTTTTAATATATAGGTTTTAAATATTTTTTATGTTGAAAAGTCTGCGTGCAGTGAGTTTTAAAATATAAAATAATTTCTGTTAGAAAGTCTGTAAGTGTAATATTCTTTATATTTTCTTCTTCTTCTTCACGTACACTAGCTGTAAACTCTGGCAAAAAGTTCTGGTTGTTCTCCCACCTCTGGCCATTAGGCTTGTTCCAGAGCATGAGTGTTGCGTGCACATCCATTTTACAGATCTGACCTATTTATATGCAGACTGTTGGTTCCTTGCCTCTCAGGCAGATGCACTCCGACTTCGAAGGAAGCCCCCAATTAGTCGTCTCTTACTACATGCTTGATAGGGAAGCTTGGGGGAATATTCTTGTTTTCCCCACAATGAAGTCCCAGAACCCACATACAGGGATCTTTATATTTGTAATGCTTTGTTTTATTACTTGTACAGTATTAACTATTCTTCTTCTTCTCTTCCACCTTGTACCTCATTGAAATGTTGGGGGGAGATGTAACATTCAATGATGAGCTCTGTCAAGAGCATTATTAAGACTGATGTTCATTTCTGTAAGGCTGTTCTTAATGCCATCACTTCATCTTTTCCGAGGTTTTCCACTCACTCTATACTCGTTGTAACGTTTTAGTGTGGGTTGCTGTGGCAGATAGTACCAGGGCATTCTTGTTAGGTGTCCAAACCACCTCATTTGTTGTTCTTTGATGACCTGTAAGATTGGCTTTATTCCTAGTATTCGTCTGATTTTGTGATTTTGTATTGTCTTTCCTTGAAACTCCTGCAGCTCTTCTAAGGCATTTCATCTCTGTTGTCACAATTTTACGTTCATTGGAGGGTGTAAGTGTCCATGTTAGACACTGATAGCATAGTGTTGGCCAAAAAATAGTTATGATAAGATTCACTTTAGTACTCAGGGTTATCTGCTTGTGTGTCAACAGGGGAGATAGTTGCCCCATTACTTGATTAGCTCTGGCAAATCTCGAGCTAATTTCTCTGTCCAGGTTTCCGTCGGATGTGTAAATTGCTCCCAAATACTTAAATTCCTGTTTGTCTTAAGGTGTTTTTTAATTTTATTTATAAATTGTCTTTCTGTCTTCCTATCACCATTGTCTCTGTCTTCGTAGTGTTTATTGTCATATTATATTCCTCCCCTTTTTTACTAATTTGATTTAGGTGGTTATATAGGCATTCCATACTTTTTGCTATGAGTACCTGATATTAACTATTCATTGCATAGAATAATAGATTTCGGTAAACCTAGAGTTAATAATACACATTAACAGTTACACTTGAACAGTGCTATTCAAATGGCTGTCTGTTGCGTGCTGATTTGGGAGAGTGTAAAATTGGGTGAAGGGACAGAGTGGTATGATAGTACTTTCCTTTAGTTCAAGGGGAATATTATCAACATTGGCTCGAGTAGTGAGGGGGAGAGAATGTTGACCAGTGAAAATGTATTATCATGAACAAGGCATGCATGCACGTGGAAGTAGACACGTGGGTTCACGGTGTGGGGCTGACAAGCATTGCTAACAAAATGCACCAAGAAAATATGAGTTACATGACAGCGTGATTCTCATGTAACATCAGCCGCCCACATGGGTTTGGCAGGGATATATTGGGGCTGCGTAGACAGTCCGGATCAGTGAGCTGTAGCCACAGAGCTAAAGCACTGGGAAAGTGCGGGTGTAGTACACACCCAGCACGAGGGTACTGTACGTCAGTAATAGAGAGACCAAGTCAGTCAGTATCTCTCGAGTGGGGCAGACACAGTACCGTACAACTATCAGGCATCAAGATCTGAGTTAGGGTTGCGGTACTGGTCCAAGGTATAGTCCCGCTGGCGAAGTAAGTCCAAGGAAAATTGGATGCTCCAATAAAGACTGTTCTGGGTGACGGTGCAGGGAGACGTAGGTTCACCACGGAAACAGAACAATAGGGATGCCAACGAGAGCTGTGTGCTAGAGGGGACTTGTGTTAGAAGTCCTGTCGGTCATCGGAATCCTTTGACAAGCTGACGTGCTGTGTGCTTTGGAGAACAGGCAAGGGAAGTCCGTCTTCAGTCAGCAGTTATTGTCTGTGGAAATAAGGCTGATGTGCTTTGGAGAACGGGCAAGTGAAGTCCGTCTTCAGTCAGCCTATGTTGTCTGCTAAAGGGAAATCAAGGTCCAGCTGCTAATGAGAGAGAGTGAGGACTACATAGCCTAGGTGCGAATGCCAGTTAGGATCAATGTCTACATCTCTAAGTATGCGGTCTTGTTGATGTGAGGGCTTGGGTTTACCCTCTTGTGTTCTGTCAAATAAATATGCTGTGTGAGGGAACTACTGTTGTCGAGTCCTGCTTCGAGAGTGAGGGAGTGAAAGTTATATCTATAGACACTTGGTAGTGTGCTGATTAGTGTGTAACTCAGATAGCACACAACACTGTCCTAGCAAGTGGCCCATGAACCATAGCCAATTATATTGTATTAATGATCTTTCTGTGCTGGGGCTCTGTCCTCTGGTCTGCTGTGACGATTCTCATTTTTGAAATTGTAATCCCTGAGAAAACTTAGTTGAATAGCCCTGCATTACAATGTAAATGTGCGATCTGCTGTAGTGCAGAAGCTAGATGCAGGCCCAAAAGTCTTGGGTTCAATGCCTCATCAAGACAGGTCTTGAAATTAGTAACAGGAAACATCTAGGGATGTAAAGGCAGCTACTATGATGTTGACCGCATTACCCATTGAGTGCCTGTTTTTCATTAAAAGTATGAGATTAGCACCATATGCGAAAGCCGTGAAAAGAGTCTTTTATTTTATACAGAAAATTAACAGATTTATTTACAAAAGTAGAATTTATTAGCTTTTACATAAAAAGTAGGCCTTGATGTTAAGTAATTCAGTCTTCTTCTTCGCGTTCACTGGCTGTAAACTCCAGCAGAGAGTTCTAGCTGTTCATATGTTTCTGGCTTTGTCTTGTTCTAAAACTAAAGTGTTGCATCCACATCCATTTTATAGATGTGGATTATTTGTATGCAGACTGTTGGTTCTTTGCCTGTCAGGCAGATACACTCTTCTTCAAAGAAACCCCTAGTTAGTTGACTCTTAGGACATGTTTATTAGGAAGGCAAGGGGTCTGTGTTTTTTTCCACAGTGGGACCTGGAACCCACATAATGAAGTAATTTAACAATTTATGTCATGCTTGTTAATCACTAATTAATTGCTTCACTATTTAGGCAAGGACTAGAGAAGTACGAATTTGGGATCCTCGTAACTTGGCGTCATATCTCACAAACATGGACATAGATTCATCAACAGGGTAAAGACATTACTGTGTGTTTCATCACTACTCTATCTATTTCTTCTTTCTTTCTTTCTTTCTTTCTTTCTTTCCTTCTCTCAGCAGATTATAAGTTTTTAGCCGTTAAATAACTCACATCCAATCTTTTGTAATTTTGGTCATCATAACTGATTGAAAGTTTGAGATACCAGGTTCTGTGGTGTTGTCTAGTCATGTTTTATAGTGTTCTATGGTGTGATGTAGCCATTATAATGGTCATGTGTTACTACAATGTTCTGTGGTGTTGGTCATGTGTTACTACAGTGTTCTGTGGTGTGATGTAGCCATTATAATGGTCATGTGTTACTACAGTGTTCTGTGGTGTGATGTAAGCATTATAATGGTCATGTGTTACTACAGTGTTCTATGGTGTGATGTAGCCATTAAAAAGGGCATGTATTACTACAGTGCTCTGTAGTGTGATGTAGCCATTATAATGGTCACGTGTTACTACAGTGTTCTGTGGTGTGATGTAGGCATTAAAAAGGAATGTGTTACTACAGTGTTCTGTGGTGTGATGTCGCCATTAAAAGGGGCATGTGTTACTACAGTGTTTTGTGGTGTGATGTAGGCATTATAATGGTCATGTGTTACTACAGTGTTTTGTGGTGTAATGTAGGCATTAAAAAGGAATGTGTTACTACAGTGTTCTGTGGTGTGATGTCACCATTAAAAGGGCATGTGTTACTAGTGTTTTGTGGTGTGATGTAGACATTATAATGGTCATGTGTTACTACAGTGTTTTGTGGTGTAATGTAGGCATTAAAAAGGTATGTGTTACTTCAGTGTTTTGTGGTGTGATGTAGGCATTATAATGGGAATACAATGTTCTATGGTGTGAATTAGCCACTCTGATCTTCTTCACGTTCACTGGCTGTAAACTCTGGCAGAAAGTTCTTGATACTCTTCCACCTCCAGTCTTTAGTGTTCTTCTAGAACCTGAGTCTTGCATGCACATCTGTTTTACACATCTGACCTATCTGTATGCAGACTGTAGGTTCCTTGCCTCTCAGCCAGATGCACTATGACTGTGAAGGAAGCCCCAGTTAGTCGACTCTTACAACATGCTTGTTGGGAAGGCAGTTGGTCTATTCTTGTTTCCCTACTGTGGGGCCTCAGAGCCTACACAAGGTGCCAGTCCTATGATAGCTTATTATTTTTAACCACTCAACCAGCAGCCCCTCAGATGTGTTTACTAATTATCTATTGAATATCATAAGTGATAATTTCTACGAGGAGATCGTTTAGGTAGAAGATAGAAAAGTTATAATGAAAAAAGTAAAAGACACAGTACCAGAGCCAGAGTCAGATATGCCCACATAAAGGACATGATTGACGGAGTGTGTGCAGACTGTTAGTTCCTTGTTTCTCAGGAAGAGTGCTCTCTGACTTTGAAGAAAACGTCAGTGCTATCTATTTGAGCTGGCTTCCTTTTAGGGAACATGTTTCTAGGATGAAAATGAAGAGATGTAATTGAGGTCTTGACCAGTGTGAGCTCTCTCATGGTGCACCTCTGTGGGGGGTGATGCGACTGTGCAGACAAACCATTGATCTGCCTGCAGCTGATAGCCCCCTAAATGCTGTTCAGAATGGACCCCCTGGAGAGAAGAATATAACTTTCCAATACATATCCAGGCAGATGTAAAAGGAGTATTCAATAGGGCAGAACCAAAACAGTGTGCAGTGTAAAACAGCCACCAGCAGTCTACTTGATGATGAATACCCACAGGATCTTTGGGTTTGTGTCAGCACAAAATGCAAGCAGAAATGGAGGAGCAGGAGAGTATCTTGAGCATCCAAGTAACACCAGAGATACAGCCAAAATTACAACAGGAAACAATGATGCTGAAGTTCAAGCCATCAAGACAGCAGCAGAGAAACAGCTAAATACCAGTCATATTTAACAACCCGGGTTATTCCTGACAGATGCAGGAGCAGTACTTTAGGCACTCTAATCTGGAAAATTACCAGGTATACAGACACTACTCTGCAAACTGCAAATGAAGACAAACCTGATGTACCTGTCTCTTATCAACAGAAGCAGAGAATAATCAAATCAATCAGAAAGCCACCAAAACTTGCACAAGATGATTAGCATATTATGGACAGACCAGAGCAGGTCATTATTGTACACCTTATAACAGGACACAATCGACTTCACAGCCACATGTACAGAAAATTTAGGATTGGGGAATCAGTCACATGCACATGTGGATTGGCCCTTGAGAGATTGGCCCTTGATCATGTCCTCCATGACTGTCCTAAATACATATCAAGGCAAAATTTCTGGCCAAGAAAGACACTGGTTGAAGCCAAACTTTACCGGCTGTTGAGTGAACTACAAAAAAGACAGTGAAGTTCATACTAGAGACAACACTGAAGACAGATAATCTGTTTCAGACAAATGGAAGAAGAAGAAGGTGGTGATGCACCTCTGCATCCAGGTTTGAGGTTTCAAACAACGGATCAACATCATGGCACACGGGTAGTAACCCATAAGTGCTCCGTTCTTTTTCTAACTCAATTCTGAGTCCGAAGAAGCTCAGCACAGTGCACAGACTCTGTAGGGCCGACGAGGATCTTGAAACACTTAAAGTAGATTTTCAACTCCAAATTTTTGCCCGGGCAGCGCCGTTAGGCTACTCTTTTTGATTTCCAACTGCCAAGGGATTTTTTTACGTGCGGAACAATACACACGGCTGTCCGATCTCACTATCCAGAGACCCGGGGAATTACTAGAAGTGCAAGCCCACGTGACAAATCCCAGCCCTTACCGGGAATTGAACCCGGAACCTCTAGCACTCAAGGCAGACATCATGTCTCGAGACCAGGCAGCCCCCTGCATCCATCTTTATGTTTAAAATATTTTGGTTTGACAGTGATTTTGATAATTCTTTGTTTTCTCAGTGTGTAGTATTTGTATGTACACCATGTTCCTGTTTGCAGCAGAGCTGCAGTATTTGAGCAGATCTAACATTTTTATAAAGGAAGTGGAATTTATGATCTGTTTTTTAATGACCTTCATGGAACAACTTTGATATTGTTGAATGTTGAATAAAGAATCAACATCACAGCACTCGGGATACCCCCTTAAGCGCTCCGTCCCCATCTTCAGCAGCAAGCGAAGAGTTAACAACTTTGATAAGAAAACATGAATTATTTATGTGGAAGTGGCATGTTTAGTATCATCATCATCAAGTGTCTCGCACTTGACAGCATAATCGCACTTCTCATTTTGTAATCGCCAGCATCATGCATCAGCTCATTTGCTGACATTTAAACATTTTCTGTTGTGTTTTCAGTTTTGAGAAAGTGAATATTTATTAGACACATATGTATATTACTTGTCATTTCCTATAACAATTTCACCTATACTCTTCTTCTGATTTAATTTGTTTTGACATCTGCTTCTCAGAACGATCATGCCTTTCTTTGATCCAGATACAAACATGACATTTTTAATTGGGAAAGTGAGTACAAATGTCTTTTTGTTGTTGTTTTGTTATATTATTAATTATTATTATTATTATATATTAATATATTATTAATCGTGGATTATGGAGAGGCATGATCGCTTATGCCAGTCGGCAAGGCACCTGATGATGATGATGATATTATTAAGAATTTTAAAATAAGCAAACCACAAATGAAACATTTCACAATTTATTGCCAGGCATTTTGCACTGTATTTTGTGAAGTTTTTACTAAATAATTCACATTAATGTATACGTGAAGTGAAGAAATGAAGCCTTATTACAGGTTTTCAAAAACAGTCTTAGGACTCTTGCTGTGGTGTTTCATCAGAAGAACCTTCAGTCTAAAGCACTTGCTGTGGTGTTTCATCAGAAGAACATTCAGTCTAAAGTTCTTGCTGTGGTGTTTCATCAGAAGAACCTTCAGTCTAAAGCTGGGTGTTTTATCAGCATAATTTTTATTTTTCACAAATAAACTACACATAAATGCGGATTTGAGCAAATATAATAATTCTTGGTGCTTCTAAACATTTGCACAGATGCAGTGATACAAATACTGTTAGCTAGGCTTCTCGCGACTAATCCACTATAGCAGTATCAGTAAAGTGCCATTTATGACATCTTGCGAAAACCAGAAATGTTGGTTTTGCATTTTTTTCAGGTAAAGAGGTTAACCCTTTGGTATTATATAATTTAATATTACAATTTATATGTTGGTTAGTGTTTGCTGAAGTTTGTATACATTGCTTTTGGTACACTCTGTATATTAACAGAGCAGTTGAAGGTTTCAGCAAATAAGTAGTCCCATAGCAGAGCCTGCTGTGAAGCATTAGGTCTTCAAATATTCTAGGTCATGACCAGGGCCTTTGATGCTTTAAGCACTGAATCTTATGTAACACATCTGCTTATTTACTTAATAGAGACAAGGCATCCAGCCTGCCTCATTGCATTCTTGTTCTGATGAGATTTTTTAAAACACTTCAACCCAGAAATTAAACGCTCAGCTCCAAGGCTATTGAACATTTATGTGATGCTCTCTCCCTTTGTGATGCCCGAAGCATGTGCTTAGTTTGCCTTATGGTTAATGCGGCCGGGACCATAATATATGAGTTCATGTGGACCAGATCTCTACCTTATCACCTTTCTATATAATTCTGAACATTTTCCGGTGCCAGTTTTTATGATACTGAGCTGCCCTCAGAACCATACTGGTCAGAACAATAATCCTTCCTTGAATGCAGATAACTGTCCTAATAGGCATGTGCACTATTCATATGCCACTCAGCATATATCACATACATTAATTACAGGTAATGCTAATGCTTTTCAGGGGGATACAACTCTGAACTTTTTAGAATTTACAGAGAAGGAACCGTACCTAACATCAGGTAAGAATATTGTCAAATATAGAATCTCTGTTCCTGTCCCACTTGAATGTCGAGTCAGTAAGGGACCTTTTTCCACACCTTCAGGCGTATTGGGCATATGGTGCTATACCTGTAGTTTATAGACCAATCAGGACTCAGTGGATGATGTGGTCCTTATCACAGAGGTGACTTATAAGACTAATACAGGCCAGAAAGGATGTAGGAAAGTGAGGGCAGGGAACAGTGTCTGTAGGTACAAACATGTTCAAACATGTTCATGTAATAATATGCATATACAGATCTTTCTAGCTATTCTGCACTGTTCAGCTGTGTTTTTTTCTAGATGCCTTGCACTAAAAAAGTTGAAATGGTGGTCCTAAAAATAGACTGAGAGATGCGAAAAGGGTTCCAAGAAATACCATGCTAAAGTCTAATGATTTGGAAGAAAGGCATCAGTGTCATAGATTTTTAAAAAATTTAACACTTCTATTTTGCTTTTGTCAGAACAAATATGAGGACCAAGAATTGTTCAGTGGGATATTTGAGTTGTTTGTCTCCATAATAAGCATAACATTTCATTGGGTGTTCCATGATGTAGCAGCAGAAGTACAATTTACCTAGCACTGATGGTGTCAAAATTGTAGTCCTTATGAGCAGTGTTGCGCCCGGCTCTCTAGCGTAGTTGGCTAAACCGGGGGGTAAGCAGAAAAGCCACATTTCTCCCAGATTTACGGTACCTATCATGGAATTAAGGCCAAAAGGTTGCGATATCCATAATACAGAGCCTAAGGGTTAACAACTCATGTTTTCTGGATACTAAAACAAACAAAACAAACATGAGCAGTGTTGCAATTTTTTAATTGACCTTTTTCTTTTGCACACATGCATACAGCCTCATCCACCAACATGAACGCACGCACCACACACACACACACACACACACACACACACACACACACACACACACACACAAATGCATCCATGTGCACACACACAGATATAAATAACCTAGTGGTATTTATGTTTGTTTTTCAACTATTATTTTTATGTAAACAAGTTTTTGTTCTGAACAAAAGTTTGGCCTGGAGAGAATACATTGTACAGGTCTAAGTTAGAAAAATAAGCCTTTGGCTCATATTATAAGATAGTGAAATTTCATACACAATATTTGAGAACTACATGTACAGTCCACACATTATTGCTGTAGTATACTGGCCTCATTCTCTGATTTCCTTCTGCCAAGTACAGCTGGTGTTGATAGAACAGAGCAGATCAAGGGGGCGGCTCTAGTTCCTAAAAGAGCTGTGGCTTTGATGGATGGGGAAGTTAACAGGCTCTTGGTTTTGTCTCAGCGGACAATTACACATGCTCCTTACATTGTACCACGGAAGGTAAGACAGTTAGGTGCATACATGTGTCTTTGCCTCTCCTCCTTTCTCCATCTTCGGGCCTCTTACCGTCTCAGTCTCATTGTATGTCACTGTATCTTATTGTGTCTCTCTCTCTCTCTCTCTCTCTCTCTTCTCTCTCTCTCTCTCTCTCTCTCACACACACACACATACACACACACACGCATGCACGCATGCACGCGCATACACACACACTATGCTGAAGTGTGTTTTTTCAGTACTGAATCTTCTTGTCATTTTCCCATACAGAGAGGAGCTCCATTGCGCTGTAATTTTCAGGTTTGACTTAACAATTGTCTGGATTATCTGCACCTTTTAACCCATCACCACTAACTTTTGCATACTTTTATGCTAGGATGAGCTTCCCTAACTCTTTAGGTGCGGGACAAAGGTTACATAAGAGATGCCAATCAAGAAATGTCTGTGATTGAAATGTGTCAGTGAATTATGTTGAAAGTGGTAACACACCAGTAGTAATGACCATGGGACACGCCAGATTTTTTATGTAAACAATGCCGGTTGCCTTTGCTTCCCATGAATACCTGGTACCCACTCAAGGCTGGGTCAACCTGGGAGCCAAGGTCACTTTAAAAAAAAAATATGGTCCTCGTAGGAACAGAACCCACAACTTTCTGATCCGCAGCCGAGCGTCTAGCCGCTAAACCATGGCGGCTCTCAGATTTTTAATGTGTTCTGACAAAATACAAAAAGTATGAGAGCATATTAAGCTAACAAGATGACTTGGCATACAGAGTGATTTATATACATGACTCATTGTTTGGGAATCAAAGAGTTAATCCATGATTAACCAAGATCTATCCATTAGAGAATGATTATAATTCTTTCTCTTAAATGAATTGTTGTCTACCTCTGATGAGCTCCATCAGATCGTTGTATATCTGTTTCATGACAGAAATGATTTTTCAAAGGAAGGGCGATCTGTCCTTAACTTCAGCCCCAAGTCTGGAGGACCAGGGTGTCTCTTTTGGTCTCTTATTGTCCCATTGACCGGATAGATGAGCTACCACTGGCATAGCTCTCAAGGTCATTGAGAAACTCAAGCTCCCCAACCTCGGCAGGGTAGAGACAACTTCGGGGGGAGTAGGAGTACTGAATAATTAAATAAATAAAGTAGAAAAACTTTCTTTTTAGAGTATTAACTGTTGTTGTTTTCCACAGTCTTACAGGGATTTCCACTCTGATCTTTATCCAGACACTCAAGATGGAATTCCAGGACTTTCTGCTGACCAGTGGATTGCTGGACACTCTGCACAAGTAAGTATGACAAGCATATTTATGTAAATATTTTTTTTTTAAATCAGTTTATGAGTTACTGGTCTTGACAATACTGAGAGTCTTATGCCCTCAAAATGCCTTACCTTTGTACCCCCTGGTTTAGACACTAGCCGGTTGGAACAAGGAAAATAGCAGTGTCAATGACCTGTATGAAAAATAGCTAGCCAGCAAGAAGTAACAAGAAAGCCAGTAAAAGAGGATGAGTCCTGGCCAAAGTTCCAACTCTGGAGGCTAGGTTAAGTTTGGTATATGCTGAGGACAGGAACAGTCTGGAGAGAGAACTCCTCCAAGGGAACGGACACGACTGGTGATATGCTGAAGGTTCTGAGACACCGCATAACAAAGTAAACCTTGCAAGACTTTTCAGGTTTGAATCAACGTCATGTCACTCAGGACACTCTCATAAGTGCTGTGTCCCAATCTTCAGCAGCAGGGGAAGAGTTCCTATTCTGATGGTACCAGTAACTTTCTGACTGTATATCCGTCTCCCCTTTCCCCTGAGTGTTGAGTGTCGGTAACTCCTTGCAGCACCATTCTCCTCAGACTGTAATGATCTGTCTGTGCCTCCCCACTGTTTGCTCGCTTCCAAAGATCGCTATCTTGCAGAAAACACGTTTGAAATTATTTTTGTACCTAGTCTGAACTCTTCCTCAGTGTATCAAGTCTCAACTCTTCCTGTTTGTATCTTTAGTCTTATTTGTCTTTCTGTGACTAGAATGTCACTGTTCCTTATTGTGTTTAGAGCACCCACTTTTCCTCTGTGCCCTTAGAGTCTCTAGTGTTTCTGCTTGTGTAAATAGTCAAATGTTCCTCCCTGTAATCAAATTATAATTATTACAATGGTCATATTCACTGCAGTCTTCTAAAACTTTGATGACTGTGACAACTTCAATGGTCAAATCCACACACAAAAAAGACATCCTCTTTAGTGAATTGTACATGGGTAGAAGATACCAGGGCCTGATGTCTGCAATGATATAAAGATGTATGCAAGTAGGATATGAATGGGAACATGATGCATAGATGTTTGGGAATGGTCAGGATGGGAATAGTAACGAAAGAGAAAATTGAGCGTTTGAGAAGAAGTGCAACATGCAACAGCAACAGTGACCCTGAAGTTGTATACATATATTGTGGAAGACTTGTGTGTGTGAGCACATGCATGCGCTTGCTTGCTGGCCTTGCTCGTGCATTTGTGATCCACATGGGTTATGAGACGACTGAGGATTCTCTAAAACTGGATATGCTGGGCTCAGAAGTGCAGATATTGCAGCAAGCTCTGAACAACAGCATAACATACTGACTGCCTTTTTAAGCATGACTGCAGAAAAGGAATAAGAAGAAGAAACAGAAGCACTTTGTATTCCTGTCATTTCTATATTCAAAAGATTTCTGCAGCAGCAGCAAATGATTTTCATCAGTCAATAAATTGCTTGAACTTCCACAGTTTTTTTTGCACTTTTTAAAATATGGGAGTCACAGTAATGTAGTGGCTATATGCCTGCCTAGAACCCTAAGCTCTTGGGTTTGAACCTGCATTAGCTTCGTCTAAAATGGATACCAGGAAATTTACTTGGAAACAAAAAATGGCCAGAATGATGCTGACCAAATCACCATCAGGTGGCCATTGCTCTATAAAAATATTGGGTGCGGCACCATATGCCTGATGCCTTAGTAGCATGACTAGGAGCCTGTACTTTTTTGCCTTTTTACTTTCTTTGCTTTTCTAACCCCCAGTGGGGCACAGGCCCTCAACTAGCTCATGCCAAGAGGTTCTATCCTTTGCTATCACAAACAGCTCTCCCCATGTCCTCTTCATCTTTTTATATCACTCTCTAGCTCCCTTTTCAATGTGTTTTTTGGTCTACCTTTATTTCTATGCCCATGTGGGTTCCAGTGTAAAGACATTCTAGTTATATTGTTCTCAGGTTTTCTCAATGAGTGTCCTATCCAACGCCAGCATCTTTTCTTCACTTCTTGGTCTAGTGGAACTTGTTTAGTTCTCTCCCAAAGCTCTACATCAGTGATTCTATCACTACACTCAGAGGAAAGGCATGATTGACATATAACCAGATTGTGACTAGTGCTGTCAGTATTGTAACTCTGCGCTGACTGCTGAAGATAAAAGACGGAGCATGCATGGAAATGCTCCTAGTGCTGTGATGTCAATTCTTGACTCAACTCAACTCAACCATTTAATTCCCTCTATTCTGTGCATGCACCAGTTAATGAATGTTTGTAGTTTATTAGTAATTGCCATAGTTGTTATCCATGTTTCTGCTCCATACAACATTATTGATTTGACATTAGAATTTTAAAAATATTTAGTATTGACTTTACTGAACATGTTAGGTAACACGGATCACACTGCAGCCTGGAAAACAGTTGATCAGGAGAGAGAGACGAGGATCTCTCATTCATGGATCCCAGCCAGACTCCCGTTCTCAGAAAGTTGTGTCAGGTCAGAAAACAGACAAGGAAAAGAATGGAAAAGTTCCAGCTGCCCAGGTAATTGATATAAAATATAATCGTCATCATCATGTGCCTTGTTGATAAGTGAAGGCGTTTTCCCCATAACAGGGTTGTAAATATATAAATATATTTATATATTGTATATATATATATATATAATCATCATCATGTAGCAGGTCCTTTGCAGAACGTCGCTCTCATCACAGTCTGCCTGAAAGAAACCAGATCCCTCGCCAGTTCTCCCGCCTCACGTACTTTTACACTCAAGGAGTCACTTATTTCTTGTGCCCATCTTCGTGTCGGTCGGCATCTGCCCCTCCTTCCTGGTACCATGCCTTCTGCTATAATTTTTTTCCAATCCGTCGGGGCGCTTGATATGACCAAAATATTTCAACTTTCGAGAAAGGATGCTGTTTATTAGCTAATCTTCCTTGCTGTTCAGATCTTTTAAGATGTCAATATTTCTCATCTTCTTTGTCCAAGATATTCTGAGAATCTTTCTTTGGCATTTCAGCTCAAAAGCTCCTATTCTATATATATATATATATATATATATATATATATATATATATATATATATATATATATATATATATATATATATATATATATATATATATATATATATATATATATATATATATATATATATATATATATATATATATATATACTCTTTTTGTGAAAAACTCATATCGAGACAATTATTAGGATTTATTTTAGAAATGTCAGGCTGAGACATTACATGGTTTTGGCGTGCAGTCAATAAATTGATTTTCTTTTTGCAGCACGCATTGTAGTTCATGCTAAGTATGTTTATAAATATCTTCTAATTTAGCCAAATTAAGACACTTTGTGGGTTTTTTTAGTTTTAAATTCTGCATTTATTTTTACATAAGTTCGGAAATTTCATAAGGATTAGCTTATAGAAAGTGTTAAAAAACATATTTTAGTGACATCATTGTTTTTGCTTCAAATCCAAAAAGTCTGTCGCCAGACGGAAATTTGACCCGCTTCTACTTTATAATTCATAGATCATTAGACGTTAGTAATTTAGTTGCAGGAAGTACAAATGTTATTTCTACAAAGAATTAAAATATTGATTTTTGATTTTATTTCATAATCTGATCTGATTTAAAACTTCTCCCATACATCTGCTGTGGTATGCCATTTACACCCCGCATGTTCGGAACTTTTTTAGGTAATTAAATTAAAATGCATACTAAGTTAGCAATTCTTTATGAGTTATTTTTATCAAATCGACAACCATTGTAGCATCTTTTGTGCATTTGCCATTATTGAGAGTTCATAGAATTTTCTGTTGGAGATACTTTTACCTGATCACCCCCCCCCCCCTTTTTTTTTTTTTCATGAATTTCACACATCAGGCTACATAGGCGGAACATTTTTAGTAATTTTATTTTTATTTGCACTAAAATGCTACTGTTATCTGAATTGTATTTTTAAAATCCACAACAGCAATAAATGAACAACACATAAATAGTATATGCTCACCCACAAACAGCAGCCAATCCATTGGTATGCCCAGTGGCAATGTATATCCAATTTTGAATACAGTCACATTTATAAAGGTGTATCAGTTCTGATTACTATAAGTTAGATAGCATCCAAAATATTTAATACACTCTACCCAGTGCTCCATTGAAATATTTACAATGAAGTTAAAACTATACATTTAAAGCAGAACACACAGTGGCTAAGTTGTTGATCCATTTGCCTCATGGTCCGAAAGTTGTACGCTCTCTGGGAATTGTTGTTAGAGCTATGGAGGTTGTGCATCATTCTCAAGAGGTGGTTAGCCATTGTGTAGAAACAGACCGAGCCATATGGTGTAAAATCAAATGCAATTAAGTGGATATTTTTTTACCTTAAACCTCTTTTAATCATTAACCCATGAAGTGCTTACTTAAAACTAGTGAGCTGGCGGCCATTTTTATATGTTAATTAGGCCAGTGTTGCATCATGTGTATTTGAGATATGCATACACAGATAGGCCTCACTGCCCCGATTGCAATGATATATAGTTGCTAAGGGATTCATTAAGAAATAAAATAGTTATTGCTATAAAATGCAAACATTTGGTCATTTTAACCCTTCATTTTAATGGGACGCAGCCCGGAATCCATCTTTTGTCTTATTTCACTATAATTTATCTATAGTGGGATCCACCACTAAAATGAATTTACCTACTTCAATGAGGTATTGTTAAATTAAATAGTTTAATCTCTCTCCAGCTCTGATAGTTTCATTAATAAAAATCCAATATATAAAACTTCTCTAGCATCCCTACATTTACAAAAGCCTCCTTGGATGGTGGGGAACGTGCATGTTCTACCCCTGCCTTCTCTTGAGGGCTGACCAGCATTGTGTGGCTTCTCTTGAAGGCTGACCAGCATTGTGTGGTTTCTCTTGAAGGCTGACCAGCATTGTGTGGCTTCTCTTGAAGGCTGACCAGCATTGTGTGGCTTCTCTTGAAGGCTGACCAGCATTGTGTGGTTTCTCTTGAAGGCTGACCAGCATTGTGTGGCTTCTCTTGAAGGCTGACCAGCATTGTGTGGCTTCTCTTGAAGGCTGACCAGCATTGTGTGGCTTCTCTTGAAGGCTGACCAGCATTGTGTGGCTTCTCTTGAAGGCTGACCAGCATTGTGTGGTTTCTCTTGAAGGCTGACCAGCATTGTGTGGCTTCTCGTGCAGGCTGACCAGCATTGTGTGGCTTCTCGTGCAGGCTGACCAGCATTGTGTGGCTTCTCTTGCAGGCTGACCAGCATTGTGTGGTTTCTCTGGACCAACCTGATGTGGGTCACCACCTGTGACCTGGAAACAAAGATGACCACACAACAATGAGACGGCAATGTCCCACGAGACTAACCAGGAAGGCTAACCCGGTCAACAAATGCCTACAGAAGTCGGATGTGCTGGCAAATATGGCAGCTATGCTGTAAACAGGTAGCACACAATTAGATCTTTGGATGAACGCAGAAGAAGAAGAAGTCACCTTGTACAACATGTTTGTTAGGGAGGCAATTGGTCTATACCCCCCCTCCCTCCCCCACCTGATACACCAACACAGAGATAAAATAGATTACCAAGATGTAGAGGAAATCCTCAAAAAGACAGACTGATGGATTGAACTCACTGACAACCAAAGGCTTCACAAAATCACAGTATACCTTACATCACAGCCTGGCTTTATTACTGATCATCTGTTGGTCTGAAATGCCTCGCGGCACAAAACAGATATTGATAACACAGCCTGTAATAATTCTACTACCCCTGAGTGTTACCTGTAATGTCGTTCCGAGTATCTTGCCATGTCATGCCAGTCATGCAATGTAAATTTGACTTACCACACATTCGATTTTTAGATCACAAGCAGTAGTGACTCATTACCAAAGCAAGAAAAGGTCAACCAGGGGAAAGACAGTCACTCAGTCACTTCCTCTTCAGTTAAAGAAGAGGTCAAATTAACAACACAGAAGCCAAACCAAAACTCACAGTCACCAGACAAGAATTCACAGATACCAGACAAGAATTCACAGATACCAGACAAGAACTTGCAGACACCAAAACCTGTTAAGCCATTTGCAGGTAATAATTTTTGTTTTATGTTTAAACATAATGTATAGTAATAAATCTTGGGATGTGAATGAAAAAAAGTTAGACGAGCTTTGGTGATTGGTGATGCTGTTTGTGAGATTGTGGCAAATACTTTGAATGCTGGAGTTCTTCTTCTCCTCCTCTTCTTTCTTCTGTTATTTCATTGTGATTTTAGAGAGATATGTAAGAATCTTCTGTGTGCTATCTCTTATGTGCTGCATAAGTTGATCTTTATTTCTTAAAAACTATTCTTGATGCCATCTTCTCCTTGCTCTGTATTCATTCTGTTTCTTCAGTTTGGCAGGTGATACCAGGACAGTCTCAACACATGGCAAAACCGTCTCATCTGTTGCTATCTAATGAATTGTATACATAGTTTCCTTGGCTCCCAAGTCAACCCAGCCTTGAATGGGTACCAGGTGCAGTCCTGGGAAGTAAAGGTGGTTAGCAGGATGCTGACTTCATTCTCCACCGAGTGCTGATTGGTCTATCAAATATAGGTCTAGCCTTATATGGCCAATATGCCTGCAGGCATGGAAAAGGTTTCTTTACTTTAATTTTTTTTAATACCTGGTTTCAATTCCAGACTTCTGGTTTCAATCCCAGTCTTCTGGTTTCAATCTCAGTCTTCTGGTTTCAATCTCAGTCTTCTGGTTTCAATCCCAGTCTTCTGGTTTCAATTCCAGTCTTCTGGTTTCAATCCCAGTCTTCTGGTTTCAATCTCAGTCTTCTGGTTTCAATCCCAGTCTTCTGGTTTCAATACCAGTCTTCTGGTTTCAATCCCAGTCTTCTGGTTTCAATCCCAGTCTTCTGGTTTCAATCTCAGTCTTCTGGTTTCAATCCAAGTCTTCTGGATTTAATCCAAGCCTTCTGGTTTTAATCTCAGTCTTCTGGTTTCAATCTCAGTTTTCTGGTTTCAATCCAAGTTTTCTGGTTTCAATCCAAGTCTTCTGGATTCAATCCAAGCCTTCTGGTTTTAATCCCAGTCTTCTGGTTTTAATCCCAGTCTTCTGGTTTCAATCCCAGTCTTCTGCTCAATTCTTTATTTTTAATGCTACCTGTTTTTGTGGCCCTGGAAACTTTTCCAAGACATTTAATTTCCATAGTTAATAATTATGCACTAATTAGTTATAGTGAGGGGCCTATGTAATAATTGTACATGTGTATAGCCAACTTATCGTGACCGACTGCTTCCATCAATGACAAACTGCATTTCTGGTGCTAAATGTTGCCCTTAGACCTCTAGGGACATTTCATTTGATTTTCACTGTCACAGAAATGACGCAAGAATGGGGTGACCCCATTGCAGTAAATTTGAAAGCTCGACTAAGATCAAGACTAAATAGGGGTTTGTTGAATGTCATTCTTTTCCATCTTCTTGAGCAATAGTATACTAAGAAAGGTTTAAGTAATATTTTATTCTTTGAAGGAAAGGGGGGGGGGGGGGAGGAGGGAGGACACAAACAATACATTGCATGGTTTATTGCCTGGTATAATGTGCTGCATATCATTAGGTGCATACTTCTGCTTTGATTGCAGTCTTTCTTCTTCTTTTTCTCCTCCTTGTTGATCTTCATTATATTAAGGCTGTCCTTGATGCCAGCACACCATTTTTGTGTGTGGATGTTGTCTCCTTCTTCTTGTTCAGTTCATTATATTTCTTCAGCATTGCTCTCTGTGGCAGTATATACCAGGGAATTTGTATTCACATGGCCAAACCATTCCATCTGTTGCACTTTTTTAAGTTCTGTTACTGGTTATTTTCTTCTGTAATGATTGTAAATGGTTCATAAAGTCACATCCATTTGTCTTCTTCTGCCTTTCTATCCCCCAATGGAGCATAGGCCCTCAACCAACTCACGCCAAGTCGTTCTATCCTTCGCCATTGCATGGAGCTCTCCCCATGTCCTCCCAATCTTTCTAACCTCCTTCTCCAGCTCTCTTCTCCATGTGTTTTTTAGCCTTCCTTTATTCCTATGCCCCTGTGGGTTCCAATGCAAAGACATTCTAGTTATGCTGTTCTCCTGTTTTCTTAGTGTGTGCTCTATCCAACGCCAGCGTCTTTTCCTCACTTCCTGATCCACTGGAGCCTGTTTAGTTCTCTCCCAAAGTTCTACATTAGTTATTCTATCATACCATTTTATTCCCTCTATTCTGCGCAGGCACCAGTTAATGAATGTAGCCAGAGAAAAAATACATGCTTTTAAAGTGTACACTTCAGATTGTTTCCTATTGTTGTGCATCGACTAATCGTGCTGTTATACTACCACAGATTGCTACCATATGATCTACATTTTTCTAAATTACAGAGCCAGTTTGTGATATCTACAGTGATGATGATACCAATAATAATAATACGAATATTAGTATTAAATGTACTCACATTTTTTAATTTGTCTGGATTTTTTCACCGGGAAACACTGGCTCTGCACAACTTACTGGAATGCTGATGCATGATAAGGCAGACGTGGTTGGTGCCTTGTGGGAGAGCGTGTACAGTTCGGAGGAGCAGATGGATCACCAGTCTGGTGAGATTGATGCAGCGACGAGTGAAGAGAGGTTCTGGCAGATGGTCGAGGCTCAGAGGAAAGGCAAGATGGACGTTTAATCAGATTGCTACTGGCACCATTAGTATTGGAACTCTTTGCTGGCTGTTGAAGATGGGGATGGAGCACTTATGGGAATGGCCGGAGTGCTGTGATGTCGGTTCTTGAATCAACTCAACTCAACTCAACATATTTCAATAACTTCTTATAATTAGTCTCTTTAATTTGTCTGTATAAATAGGTATCAGACAGTCCAAGTTTCGACATATCCAAGGCTCTTTGCTCCACCCCAGCTCTTTCATCACCAACATCAGAAATGTATGTAAAACAATACCAGGAGAAAGTAATGTATTTGCTGCAAACACCAGCAGATGTGCTGTGCCCATTGATGGCCCTGGGGGCTGTATACAGGTTTTTGAGGTAAATGCTCGCATACAAAGAAATATTTGTTTGTTTTAGTTTACTTTTTACTTATGTCCCTTGCACTCTAGATAAAGCTGCAGTGCTTGTTCCTCTCCCTCATTGGTTTGTCTTTGTCAAACCGCTTGCCGGTCTTCTATTTATCATGTATCACAGCTGTTGTAAGTAGTTAAATGTAGGCACTATGATGTAAAGGTGTTTCTTTTGTCTTTTGTTATTAATGTTCCACCCTTGACCAGGAAAGAAAGGAAAATATGGGAACAGGCAGTTGAATTATCTACAGAGACATCCGCTGTGGTTACTGCCAATAAACTACCTTTTTTTTTGTGTGGAAATTTTTAGAAAATGATGATCAACGAATCACATTTCACATACAAATGAGGCAACCTTCGAGAAGCAAGTAAAACCTGTAATCTGATTGGTTAAACAGAATGTAGACACTAATAAAGAAATTTGAGGTAGACAGTAATATTTTGAGCATGTTAGGAGCAGTAATGAAGTTAAAAACTTAGTAAAAATTAATATTTTGATGGACAGTGAATAAGGGGAGAACAAAGAGATAAATACTGGGATGGCTTGGCCAAGTAATAAAAGCAGAACAAGAACACAGGTCTGATCCAAAACTCTTGTGATCATGTGAGATGGTGAACCAGTAGGCATGCAAGCATATGATAATTTGAGTCTAGGTAACTATACAAGGAGCTGTTGATTACTGAAAGTGATTGTAATGTTACTCAGGGGGTTTAGTGTTGTTTTATGTTGTTATACAATCAGGAGAGGTACCTTGGGATGGCTGCTGCATTAGAGGACTTAGTTTGCATTAAAATTCCCAGTGGCTAGTGACTTTGGTTGTGCTAACATATCATGATAAAAAACTTATCGTGTACTAACAGAAACATTGAAAAGCATGTACATTGTTGCCAAATAGAATTCAGATAGATAGAAATTAGATGGTAATCCATTACTGCACCTTGCAGTTTGATCAAGCCTGTCGCCTTCAAGACACTGGAGTTCCTGTTTTACAAAATGGCAGCAAGGTGACAGACTTTGCCTGGGATCCTTTTGATAACAGCAGACTTCTTGTTGGTAGGGTTGTGAATTGTTGTGCTAAGTGTTTTTTTTTTTAATTCTTCACTCTGTCATTTCTTGGTCAGATATGACTGAGCTGCTGTATAACAGTGTTCAGTGCTACTTGTTCTCTGTTAAGGAAGAATGTTAGGTGGTGTGTCCTAAACTGAGACCGGCTCTAGCTGACTGGCCATGCTGTTGACGTCACCAAACCAGGCTAATGATACACTAACGCAGCGTTTCTCAAACTGTTTTTGTCAGGCAAAAAATACAAATTTGCTTCACACCTACCCTTGGTAATTAGGAAATAAAAGAAAAAAACTGCAGATTTAATGTCAAGCAGATTTTGAAAAATTCTTGATTATTGCCACAGCACCCCTGACATACGCTCGCAGCACCCGGTTTGAGAATCGCTGCATTAACATATTGTTAGCCCGGTTTGATGATGTCAGCAGCATGGCCCATCAGCTGGAGCTGGTCTTGACTAAACGTGACATCTCACATTGTGTCAACTGCTTCAGGCAGAGGAGCGCGTTGGGGAGGATACTAGCCTTATCACATTCGGGAGGATACTAACCTTATCACATTGGGGAGGATACTAGCCTTATCACATTCTGGAGGATACCAGCCTTATCACATTGGGGAGGATACTAGCCTTATCACATTGGGGAGGATACTAGCCTTATCACATTGGGGAGGATACTAGCCTTATCACATTGGGGAGGATACTAGCCTTATCACATTGGGGAGGATACTAGCCTTATCACATTGGGGAGGATACTAACCTTATCACATTGGGGAGGATACTAGCCTTATCACATTGGGGAGGATACTAGCCTTATCACATTGGGGAGGATACTAGCCTTATCACATTGGGGAGGATACCAGCCTTATCACATTGGGGAGGATACTAGCCTTATCACATTGGGGAGGATACTAGCCTTATCACATTGGGGAGGATACTAGCCTTATCACATTGGGGAGGATACTAGCCTTATCACATTGGGGAGGATACTAGCCTTATCACATTGGGGAGGATACTAGCCTTATCACATTGGGGAGGATACCAGCCTTATCACATTGGGGAGGATACTAGCCTTATCACATTGGAGAGGATACTAGCCTTATCACATTGGGGAGGATACTAGCCTTATCACATTGGGGAGGATACTAGCCTTATCACATTGGGGAGGATACTAGCCTTATCACATTGGGGAGGATACTAGCCTTATCACATTGGGGAGGATACTAGCCTTATCACATTGGGGAGGATACTAGCCTTATCACATTGGGGAGGATACCAGCCTTATCACATTGGGGAGGATACTAGCCTTATCACATTGGAGAGGATACTAGCCTTATCACATTGGGGAGGATACTAACCTTATCACATTGGGGAGGATACTAACCTTATCACATTGGGGAGGATACTAGCCTTATCACATTGGGGAGGATACTAGCCTTATCACATTGGAGAGGATACTAACCTTATCACATTGGAGAGGATACTAGCCTTATCACATTGGGGAGGATACTAGCCTTATCACATTCGGGAGGATACTAGCCTCATCCTAGGAAGTGAAACCTGAAAACCTAATGTAATGTAATTCTGATGAAAAACTCTGGTTGTTTGTCCACTTCTGGACTGCAGTCCTGTTCTAGAACCTGAGTGTTGTATGTGCATCCATTTTACAGACCTGAATAATTTGTATGCAGACTGTTGGTTGCTTGCCTCTCAGGCAAATGCACTTTGACTTCGAAGGAAGCTCCCAATTAGTCGACCCTTATGACTAATTACAACTTATCTGCACCAATGGGTGGTGAATTGATACATGACAAGGCAGATATGGTCAAGGCCCTTTGGAAACATGCAACAGAATCAGATGAGAAAGAAGATTATTATGGCTTGAAGAGAATGAGGCACCTGGGTGTAACCAGAGGGTCTGGCCGACTCACTACACTCAGAGGAAAGGCAAGGCAGACAATAACCAGATTGTGACTAGTACTGTCAGTATTGGAACTCTGCGCTGACTGCTGAAGATAAAGACTGAGCATGCATGGAAATGCTCCTAGTGCTGTGATGTCAATTCTTGACTCAGCTTAACTCAACTCAGCCAAACAACTATGTCAAGATGACCATGGAGATAACTGCTGCTTCCAGAGCACTTGCATGCATAGCAGAAGTAGTGGCCAAACATGCAGTAATTGTTTCAGACACCATGAACATGCTTAAGAAAAGATACCACATGTGGTTTGCAACATAGCAAAATGTGATCAAAAAGAGGAGGACAGTAGATTCCACAAAAAGGGAAAAAGAAAGTGAAGAGCTACATTTTGGTCAGAATTTTAACTTAATCTATAATTAAATATGCCTATTATCATTTTAATTAGATTTTTAATGGTAGATATACAAACTGCTCATGAAATCAAAATGTCCTTGTCATCTTGTTTAACAATTAGTTTTTTTTTTTAAATATTTTATTTATTATTAGATTACAACAAAATGTGATTAACGGATTATTACAAGTACAATTATTACAAGTACAAAAAACAAAAGCACTCACTTTCAGAATTGCTTGACACGTCCTTCAAACCTCTGTGCACCTTCAGGATAGAGACCACTGCTGTGTAGGACATACAACTAACTTAATTTTTTTAATCCTTCAAGTCTTTTCTTCTTTGCGATTGGTTTCATATTCTGAGGTTATTAGTTGTGTACCTCCATGAACCAGCACGTCAGCAGCAAGTCTCCAAGGGTTCCTAACAGTTTGTCCTGGATGCCTCTTCCTTTTCTGTTCTGTTTTGCTATCTGCTGACTTTATCTCTTTTTTCAGCTCTTGACAATGCCAAGATTAATGTATGGAGAATTCCAAAAGGGGGGATAACAGAGGAGCTTGTTGATGAGCCTGAATTTTCTCTCAGAGGTTTGTACTTAATCTTTAGATTCTTTGTTACCACAAAGTAATTTTACTTATAGATAAATTGTGCTCCATCTTCATATTGGAGGTTTGATGTGGTGGATATGTTGATCCACTGCTGTATTGTGGAGTAAATTCATGGTGAGACCTCACTCTCTTCCATGGTGTGACTCTTGTATCATGTCTCTTACCCTGACTCAGAAGCAGAAGAGAGTAACCACCAAGAGTTTTTGATGAATGAGACTGCCATTACATTTACCCTGTGGGAATATTTATCTTCACCGTCAAGTGGTTAAACTATTTGTCTTGTACTCTCAGTATCAAGGGCTCAGTTTTGGACTTCATCCTTCAATTCTGGAGTGTGAGTGTTTCAAATATCCCTGGAAAAGGTCACTAAAGAACTGCTGTTTTGTGGAAAGAATCACATGAATAAAATTCTCCATGTGGGCTCAGGGCCTCTTTTTATGGGCAAGCTAGAATGAACTCATTGTCCCTTAACTAGCATGTCTCTATAAACTTAGGGCTAGTTAAAACTGAATGTATTAGGCATAAATGTGTGGATATTGCTGCCTAGCTGGGAACTGTAACACAACATGCAACTGCCCATTTAAGGGGAATGCAAAATAAGAAGAATAGTATCCTGTGGGTTAAGTTGATCCTCTTATCTTTATTTACCTCTAAAGTCTTCATATGCGTGAAATTTCTCAACCCATGTCATTTAAAATGCTTCCTGTGTGGAAAAATAGACCGCCTGCCTCCCCAACAAGCATGTCATATGAGTCAGCTAACTGGGAGCTTCCTTCAAAGTCAGATGCATCTGCCTGAGAGACAAGGAACCAACAGTCTGCATATGCATAAGTCAGATCTGTAAACCAGATGTGCACACAACACTAAGGTTCTGGAATAAGACTAAAGTCCAGAGTTGGATAAACAACCAGAACTTTCCGCTGGGGAAAGCTGATGTTGCCTGAAGGAGTGAAACCTATATAAATTCATGGGTGAATGAAGTTGCAGTATAGTGGTGCATGCCTGTCAGTCCAGCATGTGTTTGAGTAGAGTAGGAAGTTTCAAAATGACATGACTTCTGTGACAGACTGTTCATGACCAGGTCAGGTACACTAGGTGTATGCAAATAAGAAGAAGATTTAAAATGCATGTAATTTAGAAATGCATGTATTTTTTTAAGCAATTTAAAAAAATATGGAATATAAAAATAAATGTAATTTATAAATAAATGTAACAGATTTGCAGGAATTAATACCTGGTGAAATAAAGTTGATCCTCTTGTCCTGAAATACTTCTCAACTCTTCAGGTTGAAACAAACCCCGGTAATAAATGTTGCTTAAATCGTGCCGTGTAAATTCATTTTATTTTGAAGTAAATGTCACAGCATCTGCAACATTGTAAGTGAGCTTTCATCTTACAGGTCACACTGAGAAGATATACTTCATCCGATTCCATCCCCTGGCATCTGATTTGATAGCTACTGCATCGTATGACATGACAGTTAGGCTTTGGGACTTGAAGCAACAGAAAGAAGTAATGAGACTTGAGGATCATGAAGATCAGGTATGTGATATCAGTGATTCATGTACCTTAACTGTTTCAGTTAAATTCCCTTATGGGTCTCCAAGGCAGAGTGGTCAAGCCATTTGCCCCGCATGCTAAAAGTCATGGGTTTGTTTCACGGCTGCATTGTTCTGTTCATGGGTGACGTTTTGTACAGAGACCACTGAGGATTGTCATCAGAGCTACAGTGTTTGTGCTTTGTGCGATGCTCTCAATGTAGAAAGGCCAAGCCATTTGGGATAACATTTGATGTAGTGAAATCAATCCCATTGACTTTAACTTTAGAAATTATGAAATGAATTACTTTAGAAATTCTGAAATGCAGATATGTTTGATTAAGATGATAGAATGACATCCAGTGGTACCTGATTTAAGAATGTGTCAGTTGTAGTCAAAGATATTCGTGTTTCAGTTACTTAAATTTCTAGGAGAGAATACATCAGAAATAAATAAATTGGACAGAAATTGAGCATACTCACAAGACTAGATATCAACAAAACAAAAACAAAAAACATGTGAACATATTTTGTCTGTATAATTTTTCTGCAAACAGAAAGTATACTACAGCAAGCAATAATTATTGACCAGTTGAGAATTGAAAGAGAGATCAGTCATGTGGATGATGGAGAGAGAGAACAAGAGAGTCCCGGGAACAGGTGTATCCGCAATATGCAAACAGGCACTCTTGATCTTTTTATACTTCACTTCAACACTGCAAGAGGAATAAGATGAGATGAGGTGATTTAATTCTTCTTCTTCTTCACGTTCACCAGCTGTAAACTCTGGCAGAACGTTCTGGTTGGTCATCCACTTCTGGACTGCAATCCTGTTTCAGAACCAAAGTGTTGCGTGTACATCCGTTTTACAGATCAGGCTCATTTGTATGCAGACTGCTGGTTCCTTGCCCCAGGCAGATGCACTCTGACTTTGAAGGAAGCTCCCAGTTAGTCGACTCTTACAACATGCTTTTGGATAGGCAGTGGGTCTACTCTTGTTTTCCCTATAACAGGGCCCCGGAACCCACACGAGATGATTTAATTAAAACTGACCATTTGAGACTGAGTGAGAAGATGTGCCATCAGACATGTTGTGGGAACTCTATCTTGTGTCAGATACATTGAGAGTCACAAGAACAAATGGTTTATGCAGCTTATTTGAATGCAGCAACAACAGTTGCCAACACGGTCACCTCAGCTAAGAAAGGCTGAAATGAGAGCAGTATGGTGCCCAAAAAGAAGTAACACTTATAAAATTGTACACGGTGGCCTAAATTGAAAATATTAAAAGGGTGATAGAAATTACAGTAAGCATGCCATTATCTTGTCAGTATAGTTGGTAAGGATGTCGAGAGTGTTAAGCTCGTAACATCACAGTGCAGATGAACATGGTTACAACATAATGACAGTTTAAACATTATGAAAGTTTAAAGATGGCTGCTCCACATTTGACATGAACCAAAGAGCAGCAGTGCTCTGGTTTCCATTTTATTTTTAATCAGTGAAGGGGTGAAACCTATAGAATGTGTCAGTGAATGAAGCACCAGTAAGGTGATACGTGCCTCTCAGTCCAGCATGCGTTTGAGTGGAGTAGGAAGTTCCAGAATGACATGACTTCTATGACAGACTGTTCATGACCAGGTCAGGTACACCAAGAAGAGAGTGACATATCTATTGCCAGTAGTCTGCAAGCAAATTGTGGCTAAATACTGGCTCTGTGCTTCATTTCTTCAACTTTATTTTACAACAAAATTAGCAGGAGCTCTGTATTCTTTACTGCAGTTTATTTTACCATGAAGTAGGCAGTCGGTAACTTAAATCAAAGAATGCAACTGTATAGTTAGTGAGCTATTGACAAAATAAAATTCCTATGTGAGTTCTGACAGTTCTGATAGACCCACTGTCCCCCTAACAAACATGTCATAAAAAGCTTTAGATTAGGTCTGTTTCCTTCAAAGTCAGAGCACTTCTGCCTGAGAGGTGAGGAACCAACAGTCTGTATAAAATATGCCAGATTTCTAAAGCGGATGTGCACACAAAACTCAAGTTCTAGAACAAGACCAAAGTTGATAAGTGGATGAACAACCAGAACTTTGCTCGGAGTTTAAATTTGATGAACTCTGAGAAGAAGAAGAAAAAGACAAGAAAAAGTTTAATAGAACTTTGTTTTTTTCTAATGCAGGTATTTTGTCTTTCGTGGAGCAGTGATGGAAAGTTCTTTGCTACAGTTTCTAAGGATGGCAAAGTTCGTGTTTTTGAACCACGTAAAAGTTCTTCAGCAATCAGGGTAAGAAAGACAACTGTGATCATCAACACTGACATTTCTCATTTTAATAGCTGCTTTATTTCTGTGTACCCAAGTTATATTTTGTGAGAAGCCAATCTAATTATTAATATTGGTTACTATGGAGAAATGGCTAACTAATTTGCCTCAGACTTTGAATGTTGTGGATGCAGATTTGGATTCAAATCTGGACGTTAGCAATTTATCATATCCCCTTTAATAAAGCAAAGTCTATGATTGGTCGTCATATACAGAATTCATAATGCAAGCAGACAAAAAGACACAGTTGTAAACCTGATTTTGCCCTGTTAAAACAGGCAATTACTTTTAATTATGGTCAATTTAGTATTTCATTTGAAAGGTTTATTTTATTTGCTTCATTTTATTCTGTTGTTACTATAGTAGTGGAGCAGCTAGCCAAACAGTTAATAATGCAGGGCTTTCTTGCAGGAGACCTGGCTTTAAATTCTCATTAAGGTTGGAGATTTGTTTTGTTGCGGGGTGAAAATTAAAACTGGTGTCCTGTGCGCAGAGTGGCTTGTATCACTTGATGGGTCCCAGATAAAGATTTGCTCTTTTGGATATTTACGTGTGCGAGGTAATTAGCAGTCTGATAGATTAATTGCTGCAGCTCCTCTGAGTGGTGAGCTACTATATGATAAAGCGGATGTGGTGAAGGCTCTAAGAGATCAAATGGATAGTGCAATAGAACAGATAGCAAATCCATACACTGAAAGACTAAATCAACAGGGGGAAGGAGGGGAGCTTAGAGGTCCTGGAAGATACCAAAATTAAAAGGGAAACGGAGACGGACTTTTGATCAGGTTGTAACTGGCACTATAAGTGTGTCAGCATTTTGTTTGCTACCGAAGAAGGGGACGGAGCATATGAGGGAATATACCGAGTGCAGTGCTGTAAATTTTTTAATTCTAGATTCATTCATTCATTCTGTCAGGAGGTGGGGGAATAAAATCCTGACCTGCTTATCCGGAGCACATGTGGGAATGTACCAAGTGCAATGATGTCAATTCTAGATTCATTCATTCCTTCTGTCAGAAAGTGGGGGAATAAAATCCCGACCTGCTTATCCGGAGCACATGTGGGAATGTACCAAGTGCAATGATGTCAATTCTAGATTCATTCATTCCTTCTGTCAGAAAGTGGGGTAATAAAATCCTGACCTGCTTATCCGGAGCACATGTGGGAATGTACCAAGTGCAATGATGTCAATTCTAGATTCATTCATTCCTTCTGTTGGGAGGTGGGAGATAAAATCCAGACCTGCTTAGTCTGTGGTGACAGCACTAACCATGTGGCCCTAAATACTCATGCTCACATACACCCCCCCCCCCCCCCATCCCATCTACATCACAAAAGTGGTAAATACAAGCAGTAATGACAGACACTGTAGTGTGCACCCGATGAGATACAGTGCAATATGACAGGCAATAAATTCTGCAGTCTATTGTTTGTGTCTGTTCTTTGTTCAAATTTACAAAAGGGAAAAATTGCTTTAATAATCTGTGTTATTTTCATTTTTAAAATTTGTAATCATTGTTGTGAGCCATGGGAACTGTGACTATGCAGCGGCTAAACATTTTCCTGCCAGCCAGAACTTCTGGCATTTGAATCTATATGAGTGCACATTTTTATAATTGACCCAGGACTGCTAGGTCGACCCACTTGAAAACAGTACCAAGTCTCTTGAGAAGTAAAGCTGACAGTATGATGTTGCCCACATCAGGTGGCAGTTAACATCACTTTAGATCATTACGATCTGAGGAGAATTGCAGTGCGGAGAGTTACCAGGGGATCTGGCCAAGGCTCAACAAGGGAGAGCAAGACGGTTACTGGTACTATCAAAATTTGAACTCTTTGTTTGCTGCTGAAGATGGGGGTGGAGCGCGTATGCGAGTGTCCCGAATGCTGTAATGTTAATTCTCAATTCAACATGGCAAATGCTGATTAGTTAAAAAATATGAGCCTACCCTCATAAGCTGCCAGCATGAGAAGGGTTCTTAGTTTCTTTTTGTGTGTCCCATTTTCAGAGTGGCCCAGGCCCAGAAGGAAGTAGAGGTGCAAGGATTGAATGGGCACTTCAGGATAGGTTCCTTGTGGTCTCTGGGTTTGATAAGTAAGTGTAATCAATCTATTTATATAGCCGTAACCTTTTCACACTGCAGAAGCTTGAAAAACATATTAATTAATATAGTGGCCTCCTAAACACTTGGCAGACATACATAGAACCATCGGTATTTAATTACGCTTTTTAAGAACAGGTCACTGCAGAAATAGGTCAGCATTTACTGGGCTGTCACAACTGGATGTGACTAGATTTAGCCTTTTTGGGGCAATAGGGTTAATGTACATGCTGAAACTGAAACACCTAATGTTTCTTGGGAAGATGTAGAAGACTAAAGCTAAAGCCAGTAATTTATTAAAGAGAAAGTGATGAGATAGTTTGGCCATCTAATGATTATATCCTATTAACAGCTACCAAAGAGAGCCACATTCAAGAAATGTGATGAACAGTAAGCACAGAGAAGACTCCCCTCCCACACACACATGCACACACACAGACAGACAGACAGACAGAATAGTGGCATCAAGAACGATCTTAAAGTAATAAAGACCAACTTATATAACATTAAAAAGAGTACACAGGCAATCCTTACATTCCCCGCCCCCGGTCAACGCTTTGCTGAGGTAACTGGTTAAGGAGAAGAAAAAGTTGATGTAGATATTTGAACTCTGTTACTGAGTTAACAACTGAATCACAGCACTCGGGAATTCCCACAAGTGCTTCCCCCTATCCCCCTCCCAGCCGTACCAGTAGTAGTTTGATTATGTGTCCATATTGCCTTTTCATTGTGTGCTGGCCAGAATTATTGTACTAGCAGCAGTCTGATTGTATATTTGAATTAGCTTATTGCATTTCTCCTGAGTGTTGCATGTCAGTCAAATCCCTGGTCAGTGCCCGCTGCACCATTTGTTACTAATTCATTGAACGTGATTCACAAAGATGAAGCAGGGTTTGTGTCCATAATAAAATCCCTACAGAGGTCCACAGTTTTTAGTAATATAATTTATGTTCATTCCATTACAGTGTGTCATATATCTCAAACAATATCTAACATATTTTTGACCCTCTAATATAATATAATATAATATAATATAATATAATATAATATAATATAATATAATATAATATAATATAATATAATATAATATGATATAATATAATATAATATAATATAATATAATATAATATAATATAAAATAATATAACATAATATAATATAATTTGGAAAGAGCTGAGAGCCTGAAGACAGCATATCATAAACATCAGATGGGGACAGTCATAATTTTTTAGTCATGTTATACGTAGAGGGAAACGGGAACATTTTGTAAACACTGGAAAGGCTTGTGGAAAGGGAGGTAGACGAAGACAATGTGAGAAGATTCATGGTATCCTTTTGTGATGGCATTGAGAGGTATCAGCATTGTATCTAATGCTTTTGGAAAGGTTGTGGAGAGGCATAATATGCCCATGCCAGTCGCAAGGCACTTGATGCTGATGAGGATGAACACTTCACAGACCTGTCTATCATCACATTAACATTGTCTTCACTCTCAGCATACTGACTGCAAAGTGATAAATTGTTTTTTTTTTCTTTAAATTGCGCAGATCCTCACTCCAACAGTTACTAGTCTATCGCTCAGATGAGCTCAGAGTGCTCCATCGTGTAGACGTTCATGTTTCCCCAGCCATTTTGGTGTCTCATTATGATCCTGATACCTCAGTTCTATTCCTCTCAAGCAGGGTAAGTTATTTGATCAAACAACAGTATTTAGACATGAGTAAATGAACTCTTTAAGGCTGGGAAATCAGTATTTGCTGCTAGTGATGTTTTTGGCCACATTAAGTATCAAGATGACCTGAAGAGAGCAGTGATAGGAGATGCAGTTTCCAGAAAATGAGGCAGAGGCCGACCTCCACAAAGGGGGATACAAGACATTGAAGATGCATTGGCTGTGAAAGCGCATAGGGCTGGAGACTTGGTTGGAGACTGAGATACTTTCAGGTGTGCCATGAAAGAAGTGAGGTTCTGCAAAGAACCTGCTGATTGATGATTTCTAAGCATTCATGATGGGAACACTCCAGAATATTTTGTTGCACTGGCATGGATGGGGGTAAGCACACAGATCTGATCTATGATACTGGTGATCATGTGAGGTGGCAAGTCATGATAATGATGATAAATAGTTAAGTAATTTGTAATTATCTATAAATCAAAAAAGGGGAAGTACACAGATCTGATCTGTGATTCTGGTGATCATGTGAGAAAGCAAGCCATGATAATGATGATAAATAGTTAAGTCATTTGTAATTGTCTATAAATCAAAAAAGGGGAAGTACACAGATCTGATCTGTGATACTGGTGATCATGTGAGAAAGCAAGCCATGATGAGGATAAATAGTTCAGTCATTTGTAATTGTCTATAAGTAAAAAAAGGGGAGCCACTGTGGTGTAGTGGCAAGACTCTCGTCTGCAGATCCGAAGGTCATAGACTTTTTTTTTTTCAGTGACCTTGGTTCCCTGGTCGACCCAGTCTTAAATGGGTACCAAATAAAGTTCTGGGAAGTAAAGGTAACTGGTGTGATGTGGAGAGCATCACCTACTGAGTGCTGATTGGTCTTTAATCAAATAAAGGTCTAACTCTATATGCCCGCATGCTTGAAGGCGTGGAAAAGGATCCTGTTATTGAAACTTGAAAAAAAAAAGTTAAGGGAACCTTATTTTTGTACCATTGGTGCATCAAGTATATGGTTCTAGGTTATATTTAGTTTAAACAAATCACTCAGCACTTGTATGGTGATGTGGTCAACATCATGCCATCTGCTTTTGATTCCCAGGATATTTCCTATGAATTACTTTTGGATTGGGTTGACCCAGGTTAATTATAAAGAAGTCTGTTTTGATGTGAATTTGAACCTGAGCCCTTTGGGCAGGTAGGCAGTCATTTAGCTACTGTGTCCTACGGACATCCTCTATGGTGAATTAAAGATAGGTAAAAAATGTCAAGGCTGACCTCTACTATAATATAAGATGTGTGCAAGCGGTACATGAATGATACAGGTGTTGAAATGGACTCATGGGAACAAAATGCAATTGATCTTTCTGTGTAGAGGGAGCACATCAGGAAGGGAATGAGAATGAAGGAATAAATAATTGCAGAAAGGAGGACAGCTGAGCGTCTGAGAAGAAACACAGTAAACACTAATGTTGACAACAGTGGTCCTAAAATTCCATCCTATAATTGTGGAAGACTTTTCTTAATGTGGATGGATCTTGCTAGACACACTCACCATCACCATAGGCTGTGAGTTCAATGCCTCCTCATAGCGCAGTATAACACTATCATCTAAAAATATTGAAAGGTGCCAGTTAATCATCCAATTGTAAGTCTGATCTGTTATTTGTATGTGTCTTTCCAGGGAGACAGGATAATCTACACATTTGAAGTTGCTGAGGAGGAGCCCTACCTGTTTGAGTGTGCACCTTTTAAGCTAGAGTCGGTGCACCAAGGTGTGTCATACTTGCCAAAACACGTCTGTGATGTGAGAAAAGTGGAAGTGGCTCGAGCCTGGCGACTGACATCTAATAGCGTGGAGGCCTTGTCGTTCACTGTTCCTCGTGTGAAGGTAAAATTTTGTCATGCTAAATTTTTTTATTTTTTTAATAGCTTCCCTTCAACGTCTGTACACAGCATGCGGAAAACTAGCTTTCGTTTATTCGGGGCCTGGCCCAAAAGTATGCAGCTCTCTTTCCTGGCAGGCAACATTGAGCGACCAGTTTTTTGTTATCGGACGGCTTTTTTTGCTTTTTTCTCACTGCATATAATGCTATACAAAACAAAAACATCTAAGTTTTGTCACTCATGAACCATTGCGCGTTAAGCGGTGACAACATGAAAAATGAGAGGCGGTTAAACCATTGAAAACAAGGAATACATGACACCCCCATAACATAGGACAGCCGGTGGGAAAGGCCACGACATGAATGGGAGCCGCCACGAAATCCCGCGCCTGGTGAGATGCGGTGATGTTCGAGATATATACTGAATATAGTATCTTAACATAGCATTTAGGGGAGTTTCCTTTTGACCCCAAAGGCTTTTTTAAAGCAAGGTTGATGTCAAATTTTCCTGTAAGCCTCAGTGATATAGGTCACAGGGTCACAGCATGAGTGACTCCATCCATATTGTTTTTGTTTTTTCATGGCCCCCAGGAAATGTAATTTATTTAATGTTTCACTCTGTTCATGTTTATTGATTACTCCTTTATATATCCTAATATATTTTCAAAAAATAATTTTTAAAAGTAGATACATACATTTAAAAAAAATTATAAGTGTCCTGTGTAATATAGTTACTACTTTTTAAAGGAATTTTTCCTGAATTCCTATGGGTTCATGACCCTTGTTTTTTTTTTTTTTTTTTTTTTTTTTACATTTGCAGGGTTAAAGGGCAATTGGCACACTGTGTTTTAGTTTATAACTAGGCTGTAATATCTGCAACTTTTGGCCCATCACATCTGATTTCAGCATATCTTTTGCTAGTTGCCCTTTATGTTGAGGGGCAAAGGGGCAATGAGTCTATTCTTTCTCTTCCCCCCCCCCCCCCACCCCCACAGAATGGGCCCTAGAGCCTACACTGTGAATTAAACCGTCAAGATCCTTAGATTTTCTTGTCTGGAGGCAGTCTTCAGCAACATTATATTTATTCAAATTTCATTTCTGATCTAATACAAAAAGGGAAGGTAAATCACATGTATGCCCTATGTGAGTTCTAGGGCCCCTTTTATGGGAAAAAGAACAGACTTACTTCCCCCCAAATAAGTATGTCATAAAGAGGTGACTAATTGAGGGTTTGGTTTCGTATGCTCAGATCAGACCATCAGGTGGGTTGCCTCTATAAACTTGCATGTCAGCTGCAGGTCCTGCAAGGTTCCCCATAGCTTGCTCTGCGCACTTTGCTCTTGAGGCCAGATGTCTTTTCGAAGTTGCAGGTAAAGTGGGCAGGTCTGTAGAATGTGCTGAGGTGTTTGTGGTCCTGTCTGACAGGCACACTGTGGGGACTGCACAATCTTTATTTTATGCATGTGGTAGTTCAGCCTGCAGTGTCCTGTTCGTAGACGGAAAATTGTTGTATGTTGCTTTCTGTTGAGTCTGCTGATGGGGTCTTGTGGATGTTTACTGTTAGTTTGTTCTCTCCACAATCCTTGGTTTTTTCCTTTGATAAGTGTTTTGATTTCTGGTAATGACAATGAATGGGCGTGTTGTTTCTTCTTTGTTCCATTTTTTGCAAGTTTGTCTGCTAGCTCATTTCCTGGTATGCCGCAGTGAGCCGGAATCCACTGGAGAACGATTTGATTGTTTACTGTGAGTCTGTTAAGCTGACGGGTCAGTTCTCTTTCTATGTTGTCTCGTGGATCCCTATGAGTCGCCTGGAGGACTGACATGCAGTCACAAAGGAAAACAATTTTGCTGTTTTTAATTTTTCTTTCCTTGAGCACTTTGGCTAAATCAATAATTGCTTGCTGCTCTGCTCTGAAGTTTGTTGAGAGTCTTCCGGAGGCGCATGACGTTTCTACTGTGGTCCCATCTTGCAGCATGATGACCGATCCAGCTCCTCCATTTTTGTCTGCTCCCTCCAATGATCCATCGGTGTATACGTGTGTTCATTCGGGTTTTGGATAGCTGTTGCAGACATGTTCAAGGGTCTTTGCATGCAGTACTAGGTCACATTCTTTAGCCTTTCTGTCTATGCCTGGAATTGTTGTTGTGACTGTATATTTAGGCTGTAGGTCTATGTTGTATGCCTGGATCATTTCCCATGTTGAAGGATCTTTAGAAAGAATGTCACTGTTTTTTTTTGTAGTAGTTTTGATAAATGGTGAAAGCTTTGTCTTTTGAGTCGAATTTTTTGTTAAGTTATTTGCTATTCTGATGCATGGGGTGGTCATTCATGCGTTTAAACTTTTCTGTTAGGGTAAGCACCTTTTCTTCCCTTCGAAGGCTCATGCTCTGGAGGCCACAAGTTGCCTCCAGCTCATTAATTGGTGAGCTTCTCATACCTACAGTGGTGATTCTGAGACCAGTGTTCTGTATTTTATCCAGTTTGTGTAGGTTTGTTTTGGCTGCAGTGGAGTACGCTCCCATGCCATACTCCAGTTTTGGTCGTACGTATCCTGTGTATACTTGTCGTACAGTGTTGGCATCTGCACCCCAGCTTGTTCCAGTAAGTTTCTTCATAAGTCTGAGCCTCAGGGTAGCTTTCCTTTGGGTGTCTTCAATGTGGGGGCCCCAAGTTAGCCTTTTGTCAAATTTTACTCCCAAATATGTGGGGTTTTCCTCTTTTAGAAGGATGTTGCCGTCTAGGTACAGATCAACCTGTTCTGGCTTTGTGGAAAGAGAGAACAAAGTTGAGACGGTTTTGGTCTGATTTATTGTGACTCCCCAAGAGTCTGTCCATTTCTTCACTGTATTTATAGCTTCCTGCATTCTTGTTTTAGTTGTTCCTATATGTTCAGCTTGAGTCCATATAGCCAGGTCATCTGCATGTAGTGCCTTGTGAATGTGAGTCGTGAACTGTTTTGGGAGGTCATTGATGAGGGTTTGGTTTCATTGGATGCATTGGGCTGAAAGACTCATATGTCACAGCCTCACTGTAAACCACAACACAACATGTCAATCTTCCTTTTAAGTGTGGAGGCAGAAGAAGTATATTTAATCAAATCTCATTTCTCACCACCTCATGCTCAATCTTAATATGGACGCAGGTTGTTTTTTTTAAAGCCCCACCCCCGGCTGTTGTCAAGGGACCTAATATAAACTAATGGTTGGATGGGGTTTCTGGGCTTGTGCGCAGGGGATTTTCATCCGAATGATGGCACTTTATGTCACCTGGTAGTTATTAACTGTTGTGGGGACCTGATAAGGTTGGACATCATTCTCTCTCACTTGTACCCTCTACTTTCTGTTACAGCCAGAATTTTTCCAAGATGATCTGTTCCCTGATACTAGTGTCACATGGGAGCCTACTCTTACAGTGGAGCAGTGGCTGGCAGGAAATGACAAACTTCCTCGGAAGATTTCCTTGAAACCAGCAGACATGACAGCCCGTAAGTTTCGTTATGAAAATAGATGTAATAAAAGTGGTTAATATTTTGTAAAACTCATTGAATTGAATTATTCTTCCTCTTTTGCCATTTATTTCCAGCAGGAGCATTTTTTTAAACAATATATTTTTCAAAACATCATTTTCCCATAATGAATTTCAATAATGCAGCCACAAACATTACATTGCACATTTTATTGCCAGGGATATTTCACTGCATATCCATCAGCTTAATTACTACAGAGTTACATCCACATAAAATTTAGCACACACAAAAACGTAATAAATTTCTCTGAAATGCAAATGGTCTCTCATATTGTGTTAGTCTAGTTGCCAGAAGTCACAGTCCAGTGACTTACCCCGGTAACATTCCACTGAAATGCAAATGGTCTCTCTTGATACATCGTGTCAGTCTAGTTTGCCAAAAATATTTTGTATTCTTTTTTTTTTTTTTTTAGCCTTTTATCCTCCATTGGAGCATTTGTCATTGTTTTGAATAGCTCAGGTTTTGCATTTTTTCTTATAATGCACTTGTCCAAAGGTCATGGGATTATTTCACGACGATGTTGTTCAGTTACTGAGTGCAATTTTTACAGATGTCTGTGGGGATTGTCGGTGAAGCTATGAGGTTTGTGCTTTGTGCACATGCTCTCAGCAGGTAGCTAGCTGTTCTGCAGAGGGAGACATCTGACCATGAAGGCAAAAATGAAATCTCAGTCACTGCTATTAAATCTTGCTCCGGTGTTCATACCGGCTGCTACTCATTAGAAAATCATTTCATGCATCGTCTTAGAGGAATCAATAATCAGTACAACTTAATTTAATTTATTTACTTGTTCATTTATTTAACTTATTCATATTTCTCCTCATTTTTTTTATACTTTCTTACTTATTTCGCTTCGTATTATAGCCCTTCATTTTCATATTTTCTCCCATTGCCTACTTCTTGGTTGCATATTGACCTTAGTTTTTTGTATTAAAACTGTTGTCTTGTCTGTTGAGTTGTTCAGTCACAGTTTGTGCTGCATTTAGTTTCCTCTGATAAAGACTGTGGTCAAAATGTTTGGTTGTATTTATGTTCGTCTTTTCTGTTCCCTCTGTTGAGCTTTCTAGTCACATTTTGTGTTATATATAGCATTTCATGTCTGATAAAACCTGGCACAATGAAGTTGATCTTCTTGACTATAACCCTAACTTTATAGGCCCCCAACCAACTAATACTAATTCCCCATAACGTTTGCCATTTTGTGCATTTCCTTTCATGCTCCCCCGCATTATTAATCTCTGATCTGAAATCCTCACCTCCGTGTATTTTATGTCTACTTTTATTTCTTTTTTCTGTGGGTTCTAGTGAAAGGAAATTCTAGTTGTTATGCTGTTAAAAAAGTTTCTCAGTGTGTGTCATATCCAGAATCAGCACCTTTTCTTCACATCTTAAAATCACTAAAATTATGTTTTACATAGGTTTATATTTTCTGTGCACTCCCAAGTACATGGACAAACTACACACTTTTAATTTAGAAGATATAACCTTTGATTGGTGAGCTATTTTCCTATGTTTTCTTACACATTTAGGCTACATAACTCTTTAGGTCTGTTTATCCATCATGTATATCTCTTTACAGTCATAGGAGACACTGTTCTCAAAACCAACGGCACAACTCCATGGTTCCTGAGACTGATGGTTGCCTACAGATATCTCTTCATCTCAGAATCCTTTCTCATTGAGATGATACTTTCTATTTCAGATCAATACTCAGTTCACAGTAGGTGGCTAGATGCTCACCTGCTGACCTGAAGACTTTAGGTTCAAATCATCACAGAGTGGATTTGAAAACAAACACATTGACCCTGGTCAACCCAGCTAAACATGGATACCTGGAAAGTTCAGATGCAGGAAGTGTATTTGAAAACAAGTAAATTGACCCAGGTCAGCCCTGCTTAACATGGAATTTCCTGGAAAGTGAAGATGCACAGATGGGATTTGGGAACAAACACACTGTCCCAGGTCAACCCTGCTTAACCTGGATACCTGGAAAGTGAAGATGGCCAGTTGGCTGTTGACCACATCACTCATTCAGTGCTGATTGGTCTATAAAAATGAAGCTAACATCATATGCCTGATATGGAAATCAATCAACTATTCAGCAGGCCCTTTAGAGAATGTTGCTGTCTTCATGGCTGACCTGAAAGTCTCACTTTCTCTAGCCACTTCTCCAGCCCTGTGTGCTTTCATAGCCTATGCATCTTTAATGTCCTGTATCCACATTTGCTGTGGTTGACCTCTGCCTCATTTTTCTGGCAACTGCAGCCTCAATTACTGTTCTCTTCAGACCACCATGACGCCTGACATGTCCAAAATACCTAATCTTTTGGGAAAGGATGCTGTTTATGAGCCAGTTCTCCTCAATGTTCAGGTCATGCAGAATGTCAACATGTTTTCTTCTTCTTGGTCCACTGTATTGTAAGGATTTGTCTGTAGCAATTCACTTCAAAAGCTCTGATTTTCTTCTTAAAAAATTGAGTGAGAGTCTGTGACTCACATCCATAAGTTGCCAATGGAAAGATGCATGATCTCACAATTTATCCTTTAACTCGCTTACAGGTGCTGTGCCATATGTTCTGCGTGTTGTTTAGCTTCTGCACTGCTACAGCAAGTCGTTTTCTGGCTTTGATATGCTACTGTCATGATTATGGTTCTTTACAGATGTACTGCTCAACTTGCATTTATTTGATCCTACCCATCTAGTGATGTTCACTTGTGATGAGTTTATGCTTGTTTCTGTACAGTGAGTGTTGCTCCTGTTGAAGCACCAAAAGTGAAGAAGTTTGAGAGCTACAGTGCTGACACCTTCAAGACAGATGAACAGAGGAAAGAAGAAGTGAGTTTGAAATTTTCTTGAACATAATGTTTCTTATATCTGTTACTGGTTTGTGACAAGATTATGTCAAGAAACGTGCAGGAAATTACTGATTTTACAGAATGTTTTACTAGTTTGCTATAAATGTTAATTTACAGGAACATCTGGAAAAAAAATTATTACATAAAGTAAAACTGTGATTAACCATCAGGGTTGTTACAGATAATTGGATGACAGGATAACAAAATTCTCTTAATACTTATGTACAGTATCATGATTTTAATGCGAGCTTGGGATAAAAATGAAAATAAAATTATTTAAAAGTGAATAATACATACATTTATACATATGGTCTTAGATTTTACAAAACGATCAATATAACCTTCAATATAAAAGTAGTAATGTACAGAAGTGTATTGTTATACTATAAACCTACGTTACTTTAAAATAATCTGTCATTTCCTTCTGTATGTTTGAGTCTCAAGCTTTTTGTGGTGACTGAGACCAGTATATAAACAACAGCCTCTGGTTAGTTATGGGTTTGTGGTAAACTAGATCAAGATCAACTTCTCCGCCATCAGCAATTAGTCACTTCCATGATACTGTACAGTCACTTCTATGATACAGTACAGTAACTTTCATGATACTGTACAGTCACTTCTATGATACTGTATAGTCACTTCCATGATACTGTACAGTCACTTCCATGATACTGTAGTCACTTCCATAATACTGTACAGTCACTTCCACGATACAGTATAGTCACTTCCATGATACAGTACAGTCACTTCCATGATACTGTACAGTCACTTCCATGATACTGTACAGTTACTTCCATGATGCTGCACAGTCACTTCCATGATACTGTAGTCACTTCCACGATACTGTACAGTCACTTCCATGATACAGTACATTCACTTCCATGATATTGTACAGTCACTTTCACGATACTGTACAGTCACTTCCACAATACTGTACAGTCACTTCCACGATACACTACAGTCACTTCCACGATACACTAGTCACTTCCATGATACTCTACAGTCAATTCCATGATACTCTACAGTCAATTCCATGATACTGTACAGTCACTTCCACAATACTGTACAGTCACTTCCACGATACACTACAGTCACTTCCACGATACACTAGTCACTTCCATGATACTCTACAGTCACTTCCATGATACTCTACAGTCAATTCCATGATACTATAAGTCACTTCCACGATACTGTACAGTCACTTCGATGATACAGTACAGTCACTTTCATGATACTGTACAGTCACTTCCATGATACTGTACAGTCACTTTCAGCTTTTTACAATAGGGTGTAAAAGTAATCAGTGGACAATTTTAAAGATGTCTGTTTGTTGATGTTCAAGCATTTTTGGGGTTTAAAGACAATGATGGATAACAGAACTTGAGGCTTATATGTTAAAAAAAAAAGTAAAGGACCCTTTTCCACGCCTTTAGCCGTATAGGGCATATAGGCTATATTTTTATAGACCTATTGGCACAAGATGCGTGATATGGTCAGCATCACGCCGGCCGCCTTTACCTCCCGGAACTGCACTCGGTACCCACTGAAGGCTGGGTTGACCTGTGAGCCAAGTTCATTTTTGAAAAATAGTCCGGCTCCGCCAGGGAGCGAACCCACGACCTTCCGATCCACGGCAAGCATCTAGCCGCTCGGCCACGGCAACTAAGAGTTATATGAGTGACTGTTAATCAAAGATTTACTTAATCTTTTGCCAGTTTCTTATAAAAATTGTTAAAAGAGCTGGATTGAGGTTTGAACAACAGATCAACATCATGGCACACGGGTAGTAACCCATAAGTGCTCTGTTCTTCTTCTAACTCATGTCTGAGCCCGAAGAAGCTTAGCAAAGTGCACAGGCTCTGTAGCACCGGAGAGGATCCTGAAATACTTTGGGTAGATTTTTAACAAAGGAGCTGGAAAGTAATAAGATTACAGAATATCTTACTTCTGTGTTGTTATGTTCTTAGTATATTCAACCCTGTGAGCTTCAGTAGCAAAGCAACTAGATGCTCACCTGCCAGTCTGAAAGGCTTCGGTTCAAATTTGCATTAAGGTGGAGTTTCCTTTCGCTCCCTGGTCTGCCCAGCCTATTATGGGTAACAGGTAATATCCTGGGAAGTAAAGGTGGCCAGCATGATATTAAACACGCCACCTAGTGCTGAATGGTCTATACAAATATGAGTTTAACACAATATGCCCAATGCACCACTGGTCTGAAAATGGTTCTTTACTGTGTTTTTGTTTTTTGAATACAGCTTTCTTACAAAAGCATGGCATTGTGGTGCTGGGGTTTTTTTTTTTTGGTCCCTTGGAATTTGTATTTTCAGATTGATATTAGTTAGTTAGTTGCACTCCGGACATGTCCAAAGGTGCTCAGATCCTCCCCTCATTATGAACCCCAGCATCCAGTGGCTAATTGTACCAGTTCCATGTTGATTAACAAGTCCTCAGATTTTTTAGATTGATATTATGATTCGAGCAGCAGCTGGCCGAATGGTTAGAACGCTGGGCTCTCATGTGGAATATCCAGGTTTGAATCCTCAGTAAGGCTGGGGATATTTTCCGTCAGGGAGCAAAATAAAATCCCTACCTGCACAGTCATAGCGACAGCACTAGCCATGCGGCCGTAAATCCTCAGACTCAAAGACCCCCCGGCCTACACCACAAAAGTGGTATAATAAAGGCACTAATTGGCAGACATTATGATTGGTTGATTATTATTGTGTTACTTTCCACCAGCCCTATACAAATAGATATTATTATTATTGTTGTTGTTGTTGGCAGCTGTTGAGTGCAGTGGTTGGTAAACTGGAGATTTCAAGTGAGCCACTGCCACAAGACTTGACTGAAGGTGTCGAGGCTGATGAATGGGTAAATTACGTTGTTCTTCTGTGTTTGAATTATTTTCTAATTAATTTTTTTTTCTTGTTGTTCGCGCTCACCGGCTGTAAATCCTGGTGAAAAGTTCTGGTTGTTCATCCACTTCTTAACTTTAGTCTTGTTCCAGAACTTGAGTTTTGCATTCTTTCCTTTTACAGATCTGGCTTATTTGTATGCAGACTGTTGGTTCCTCACCTCTCAGGCAGATGCACTCTGACTCTCAAGAAAACACACTTGGCTGTAATGAGTCTTATTGGTAAAAATGTAAATAGTTTATGATGACTTTTGGGAGCCTCCATAGTGTAGCAGCTAGAAGACGCTCAACTGTGGCTTCAAAAGTTGTGGGTTCAAATTCGAACATGTCATTGCTTAGTATCTTGTCTTTTAAAAAATTACCCTCGCTACCAGGTCAACACAGCCTTAAACGAGTACTAGTTAAAAGTCTTTGAAAGTAAAGGCGGCTGGTGTGATGTGGATCATATCTCCCACAGAGTGCTGATTGGTCTATAAAATATAGGTCATGCATTAGTTCAACACCAAATGATGCAGCACCAGCCATGCAGTCTCCTTATTTGTTTCCCAGAACAACTGCAGGCTCCATAGAAATAATCCTAATGATTTTTTAATACCCAGGACCACTATAGCAATAATTATCCAATTTAGCTTTCCTATTTTTTATTTGTTGACTGGAAATCTGTAACGCGTAAAAACTTGTGATGACCCAGATGAAAAAGAACTGTGAATTGATTGGTTGAACCTGAAAGTATTCTCATAAACATTTTGAACAGTTTTACTTGTTAAATTACACAGATTTGAATGTCAAAGCACCTTCGGATAACTACGCGTTTTATTTTGGGTTTTATATTGATAGAACACAACTCTCTCAGTTGAAGAAACAAGAGAGAGCTCCAACAGCCAGCGACTCCCTTTTTGAAGATGAATTTAGCATGGATGAATTAGAACAAGCCCTGAAGAAATTAAAACCTAGAAAATCCCCAGGCCCAGATAAGATCCACAACGAAATGCTGCTACATCTTGGCCGGTCTTGGAGAGAAGTAGTTCTCAGGCTTATTAATAAAACTTGGATTTCAAGCAAACTTCCAAAGGCATGGAGGAATGCATATATCGTCCCCATTCTTAAAACCAAAAAGCCTCCAGACGACCCAAAAAGCTACCGCCTGATATCCTTAACATCATGCTTGGGCAAAGTTGCAGAAAGAATGATAAACAGGCGCTTGTATTGGTTCCTAGAGAGTTCTGGTGTTCTATGCCATGAACAGGCAGGCTTCAGAACCAAAAGCTGTACAGAAGACCAGCTGTTCAGACTGACACAAAGAATACATGATGGCTTCCAGAATAAGAAACACACAGTGGCAGTCTTTGTCGACCTCCAGCAGGCCTATGACAGAGTATGGAGAAAAGGTCTCCTGATGAAGATGATGAGCATAGGAATACATGGCAGATTGTATAACTGGGTGAAATACTTTCTGATAGATAGAAAAATCCAGACTAAGATGCACAACGCAATCTCTTCTAAAGAAGTCTTGGAGGAGGGCTTGCCACAAGGCTCATCATTGAGCTGTTCACTGTTCCTAATCTTTATCAATGACCTGCCAGAACAAATCAAGGCCGAAAAAGCCTTGTACGCTGATGACCTAGCAATATGGCAGAGTCATGAAAATGTGGAAAGTGGAGCCCTAAGACTAAATGGAGACCTTAGACGACTGCATGAGTACTGCCAAAGATGGAAACTCAAGGTTAACTGTGCAAAGACGGTCTAAACAGTCTTTACCAAAAGCCATCAAGTAGCAAGGAAGTATATTAACCTGAGGTTAGACAAACACCAAGTGATGAAAGAAGAGCATCCTACATACCTTGGAGTCACACTTGACCGGCAGCTGAGCCTCAAGAACCATTTTGAAAACGTCAGGAATAAGGCATTGAGGCGGTTACAGTTATTAAAGAGACTTGCAGGTACATCATGGGGATCAGACAAGGAAACTTATATCTAGGATATGTTCGCTCTGTGATAGAGTACAACAACTCACTGCTTACAACCTGCTCCAAAACTAACCTAGGGACTCTTGACAGAGCACAAAATAATGCCGTCCGATTAATCTGCGGAGCTATGCAGTCTACACCAACTGCTGCATGTGAAATCCATACAAATGTGGAACCCCTCGGGTTGCGGAGAGAAAAAGCCACTTTAGAAATTTATGAAAGAAGCGTTAGAAAGAATCGTAACCATCCTAATAGACACCTTGTAGAAAACTGGGAATACAAACAAAGAATAAAGCACAAATCGGTTTTACACTGTGTTAAAGAAATTCAGGACAGATACCACCTCCCAGAAAGACGTCAAGGCATTCAGAATGTTGCAAGAAACCTACCACCACATGCTCGCTTTAAAACTCCAGAAGTCCTAATTAAATTGGTAGGCGAGGAAACCAAACAGTCCGACCCAATCGCTCTTATGAACTCATCACTAAAGACCATTGATTCTTCTTCTTCTTCTTCTTTCGTTCGCATGAAATAAATTGTCTATATCTGCAAAGCTGTCTCTAGTATGAATTTCACTGTCTTTTGTAATTCACTAAGCGGCCCGTAAAGTTTGACTTCCACAAGTGTCTCTTTTGGCCAAAGGTTTTGCCTGAAAGCGTTGAATCTGGGACAGTCTTGAAGGATGTGATCTGTTGTTTCAGGTGCCAGTCCACAAGTACACATGGCTGATTGGCCAATTTGTTGTACATGTGGGAGCGAAGTCGATTGTGCCCTGTTCTAAGGCGAAGGATAATGACTTGCTCTGGTCTGTCCATAATATGGTAATCGTCTTGTGCCAGTTTTGGTGGCATTCTGATTGATTTGATCATTCTCTTCTTCTGTTGATAAGAGACTGGTATGTTAGGTTGTTCTTCAGTTGCACCTTCCTTAGCTAGTTTATCAGCTTTTTCGTTTCCGGGAACTCCACAGTGGGAAGGTATCCACTGCATTACTAATTTACAGCGGTTGCCTAGTTCGGATAATAGTGTCCGTATGCTTGGTAATTTTCCAGACAGGAGTGACTGAAGTACTGCTTTTGCATCTGTCAGGAATACCACTGGTTGTGAAGAATACCCTGTATTTAGTAGTTTCTCTACCGCTATCTTGATGGCTTGAACTTCTGCATCATAGTTGTGACAGTGCTTTCCCGTTGGTAATTTGGCTGTATCCCTGGTATTATTAGGATACTCAATGTATACTCCCGCACCTCCGTTTCTGACTGCGCTTTCTGCTGACCCATCTGTGTAAACACGGACCCAAAGGTTCTGCGGGTATTCATCATCAAGTAGACTGAGGGTGGCTGTTTTGCGCTGCACACTGTTTTGTTCTTCCTTGTCAAATACCCCTTTCACTTCAGTCTTGATGTGTATTGGAAACTTATACTCCTCTCTCCAGGGGTCCGTTCTGGGACAGCATTTAAGGATCTATCAGTTGCAGGTAAATCAGTGGTTTGTCTGCCGAGCCGTTTGGCCTGGTGGATAAAACTACTTCTCTTTAGTCGTCCCAAAGCTAAATTTTGGAATCTTTCATTCATAGGGTGACTGGGCATACTAAGAAACTTTTCTGCTTGTAAAAGCATCTTGGTGTCTCTGCGTTCACTCAGTGCTTGGGTCATCCCCATTTTCTCCATCACAGCTATAGGTGTTGATTTCATACTGCCTGTGGTAACTCTGAGTGCTTGATTTTGTACTTTGTCTAATTCTTGCAATGTGGTTTTTGATGCTGAACTCCATGCTGTTGATCCGTATTCAAGATACCATTGATTCTTATCCCCAAGAAAGGATACATGTTTATACTGATGGATCTGCATTTAAAGCTACCATTAAAGCAGGTTACGGAATCTACATAGGTTATCCCGATGGATCTGCTGAAGAGATTTTTGATGCATGCGGGGAATTCTGTTCAAATTATGAAGCTGAAATGATTGCACTGGAAACAGCAGTATACCACCTAAAGACTGTAATGGATGTTTACCCTTCAAAGGCCCAAAAAATTGTCATCTTCACAGATTCAATGTCTGCCCTTCAAGCTGTGGAGGGCAGTGAACGCTGCAGAACTGACATAGCCAAGATAATCCTGGATGCTGATCAGCTTATTACCTCATACAACATCAGAATAGTGATGCAGTGGATTCCAGCTCACCAGGTAATGACAGAGCTGACAGATTGGCAAAGAAAGGAGCAACACAAGAACAACCACCTGCAGCGACAACCCTACAGACAGCAAAAACACTTATAAGAGCTATAAACAAAGAGACTTGGTTGAACAGATAGGCCATGGAAGACACTGGAAGAGAGGTTTATAGACACATGGCTGGCCCTGATCCTAATGACAGCATTAACCATCTAACAAGAAGGGACCAGGCCACCATTTTCAGACTTAGAACGCAACATACTCCACTCAATGGACATCTAAACAGAATACAGCCACAACTCTCCCCAGAGTGCCAGCTATGTAACTACCCCTACGAAAGTGTTGAACAACATCTATTTGAGTGCCCAAAACTCAGCGAGACTAGAAGAATGCTACTCCCTCCGAGACCAGACAAGTGGAACACCTTGTACGGAGGAAAAGAACAGCTTGTGAAAACATGCAAATTTCACTACATGGCATTGGGCCAAAGGGCGAAAGCTCATGCGCCGCTGGATTGATAACAACACACACACATATGAATATATAATTTTTTTTTTTTAAGCAGTAAAGTTAACAGAGTGCTAGTTGATGATGATTCATTTATGTCTACAGAAGATAATAGCTTCCTGTGCCCTACCGCTCTCACAGCCAATGTCATTGTCAACCTTCTGATTATAACTCGTTATTATTATTTTATTTTTCAGGATGACTGAAAATATACAGAAACGCATAGCTTGAAGAGAGGAATTGAACTATAAATGTTGTGTTTATGCTCACAAAAGCTTATACCAAGTTCTAACCAGTTAAGGTTCCAGCAT